GGAGATCTTGAATCCGACGCAGAAGGAATTTGGAAATGAACTATGGAACACTTTATACAACTCAAAGCAAAACGATTTAGCGCAAGAAAGCAGTCATATAATTATTAAAAAACATGGAAATAAAATGCATTTAATTAAAAAATTTAATTGATTTATGGATGAATTGAAACTAATTTTAAAAAGTAACGTCATATATTTGTAAGTTGTGCGGTGATGGATAACCCAACCTTTTATAGACAGTCTTGTATCTTTACAGATCTTAATAGTTTTTGGGCACTGGTCAATGTTGAAGTTGTCCAACCCCCCAACCCCTCCCCAAAACAAAGAATAAGACTTGAAAATGCCTAATTCCAAGACACCATCACATATGCCTGTAAGCACGTGTGAAATCGCTGCAGCTCCCATGATTCCGGTGACCCTTCGTTCAGAATCATGAGCAATATTACAGGTAATATAGTCAAAGTCTACAAACCTCGCCAACATCAGAATGACTACAAAGGGACGAGAATGTGCATAGAATATTTTCTTCTTTTTGATAAACAAATACTAGAACTTTTGCAACAAAATGATAAATCTATTTATATTTCAACAGACGCTTCTAGCAACAAATATGGAGCAGTAGTTTGTTTCCAACGGTTGAAGTTGGAGATGTTTTGGGCCATAAATGCCCTAGAAGGAAGCCAATGCAGTCCTTCGGGTCTTGGGGTCACTGGAAGATGTGATTAGAGTTTCGAGGATTGATTTGCTGGTAGATAGTTTTGCTGTTTTTGAGTGTTGGAACACGCAGGTTCAAGGCTGAATTTTTCCCGAGTTGTTTTAGAGAATGGTAGAGTCATAGGTCAAAAGGTGACATAATTCAGTAATGTCTGAAAGATATTCATGATCAGTATCTTACTTTGTTAGGAACATATGATGGTGAGACTCCTCTTACTTTCAGAGCGGGATGTGGGTCGGTTGACAGTATGAACCATGTTGGATGGTATGGAGAGGTGAAAGCGAAATACACATATTACATGTATGAAAGTAAGGAAGGTTGTTGTCGTTTGCTATAAATTGTCATTAATATTATATGATTATTCAGAGAGCTACAATCCAATTTTAAAATATCTGAAGTGTTGTTTTTTTTTTAAATATACATGTAATCGCAATTTGAATGATGTTAGTAATTATTTTAATTAAAAATGTTTGAATACGTAAGCCAGTGAGACAAATGGTCTTTTTCATAGTTTTATTACTAAAAGTGATAGGTCGTACAAATGATCGCATAGTGGCTTTTAGCGTCTCCCTCTTAGAACGTCGCCCCGAAGAGCCCCGCTTGGAAGAGTGCGGCCCAGATGAAAGCGCTTGGTAAAATTTGAATCTTATCTTTATAATGTACAATGCATAATACTCAATCACATATGGAGTAAACAAGTTAGATTAAAGTAAACAAGTTATATAATAAATTGTGGCAAAATCGTGGAGTTTTATAAAAAAAAAAAAAAAAAAAAAAAAAAAAAAAGAGCGCAATGCCTATTGTGCGACAAACATGAAGGTGTAAAAATTAAATCTCAATTATGACAAAATTTTCTTTGATATTTCATCTAAATTAAAGTATACTTTATGTAAAATCTCCACAATTTGCAAAAATCTCACAAAGATTGAAATTATTTGCCTATGAAATAGCATAGACACACTAAAAAGTGCGAAAAGGATCATTTTCTCTTACTCTAAAACAATTTTTCGATATGAGTGGGTCTTCGCTCCATATTTTTTAAAGTTTATCCTCAAAATTTGCGTAAAAATATACATTTCTGGTTAACAAAAACATGGAGCAAAGACCCACTATACCTTATAAATAGACTTTTATGACACAACATTCGCATCTTTCCGAAAAATACTTGAAGTCCACTTAGTCAAGGGTCATATCACAAACATGATTTAATTGACAACATTCATCAGGAGGTGTGTATCGCAGTGGTTAGCTTGTTAGTCTCAAAGGAAAATGATACTCAGGATTTTTGTTGCTAGGGTTCGAACCCCACGAATACCACATTATTTTTTTAATAACAGAATAATTTTTGTCGAGAAACTTTTCCTCAGAAAAGTTTTGTTTATCATAATTTCATAAATTTCAATAGTGAGAACTTCATGAAATTAAAACAAAAATGATTATGACTTTCATTTATCTGAGGCTATAGGCATTCTGCGCGCCTTGTTCACCCATCTCCTTTAATAAGCTTCAGTTCAACATCTTAGTATTGTGCAAACGTTATTATATTAAGATAATTCTTAGCAATGTTCCGTTACTGTTCCTGTATCGACTTCCCAAGAAAGATATAAACATCCTGGTAGCTTACACTGTCCTTAATCCGATTACCAGGTTTGTTTACTCTTACGGAAAAGTCTTATATCATATCATATATTATTTCATATCCCGACTGGATTATAGGTCAATGCACTCTATCTTAAGTACATTGTAAAAAGTTAATTATGTTTATCTTTTTTTTTCTTGATAAAATATTTGTCTCAAACCCTATAGGTTTACAAATAACTCTGACAATGTCAAAATGGAAAAAGGTGTAAGTTTGGTGAAGGAGGTACAAAATACTTAGTCTTTTAATTTAAGAGTTACAAGAGATCAGTTTGATAGTTGGCAATTTTTGTTGACATGAATATTACAATGATAAGTATTGGGAGGAGATGGGGTATTTTCAGTTGCCATGGCGATGGTCCTGGAAATGATAAAGACTACAATCCCAAGACTTGAGAAGAACTGGAGCAGTAACGTATACACTTGGTATAGGGGAATAATTTAATTAGATATATGTCACCCGTGGGTTTTTTTTTTTTTTTTTTTTTTTTTTTTTTTTTGTTTTGTTTTGTTTTTTTTTTTTTTTTTTTTGTTTTGTTTTTGTTTTTGTTTTTGTTTTTTTTTGGTTGGTTGGTGGGTTGGTTGAAAAAAAATTAAGTTTTATACTTTTTTGTAGACCTAATATCTAATACGTTCTACAAAAATTCAAATTTATTGATTAACACACTTTTTTATTGGCTTAATTAAATTGTGAAAACTTTGAATGGAGATATTTACCCCACTTTTACTGCATATACTTTTACAATTATATTTTCATTAATTGATAAATTATCTATACAACCTTATTTTTGATACCAGTTGTATATATACATGCTGTACTTCGGGTTCGTTTCCATGATGCTTTATCCAGGATAAAAGAAGCGAATACGCAAATTAATTTATCACAACAAATTACTCATAGACTTTCTTTATATAAATATATTCACTATTTATAGTTAAATTATTATTTCCATCAGAGTTTCTTTATAAATATTTTTTTCTTTTTAATATCGGGTCCGATCCGATGCATGAAGCTCTGAAAATCGCCAATACTGAGATCGGGGACTGACGAGAGCGATATGCACATTTGTTTTTTTTTAATCAGTTATCACAACATATTTGTTCTATATTTTTTAAATCAAGTTTTGATTGAATAATTTACTAATGACATTTTATCAAACATCAAAAGATAATTAGTTGTAAGTTTCATTAAATATTGCGAGTAACTTTGATCCATCAGTCAACCGTAACCACCACTGCTCTCTTTTGCTAATTCACGACTGTTTAGCGAAAACGAAAGTAGACTTTTAATTAAGTTTACGATAATTACTATGGTAGTGAAATCTAAATATAGATTTAAGACATTATTCTATACTGAGTGTAATATAAGAGGAGTAAGTAGAACTCTGGTGCAGGTGTTTCGAAGTTTATTTGCAAAATTTATTAATTTATAAGTATTGATGCAGGTGTTTCGAAGTTTATTTGCAAAATTTATTAATTTATAAGTATTGATGATGAATTCTTGGGTTAGGGGAGGTTACAGTTTATCAGATGTTACCTAGAAGATCAGATTTTACCTACCGGTTAATGTATTTGTGATGAAAAATGGTTAAGGTCAATTTTGAAATAATGTTTGTTACCCTCTCCCGACCCAAGATTTGGATTGGTAGATATTAGGATTTTTTCCCCGGAAAATTTCAACATCAATCGATACTGATTTTAAAATGTATTAACTAAAATCAAAGCTATAAATAAAATTGAAATAATTGTTGACGGGATGAGAAAATTCCGGGATGAATTAAAAAAAATTATTTCCTTGAGACTAAAAAGTTTTGAGTCGGGCCATTTTAAGCCAGTAAATCGAAAGAGGGCAAACAAATATTTTTTTAAAGATGGCATAAAAATATTTTTTCTGTGAACCAGCAAGGCTGTGCAAGTAATTGAAGCATTCCTGTGTTGTGTGAATCAAATTCGATTAAATCGTTACCCCTTAAGGCTAGGTTGGGGCAAAAATATGGGTCAAAGTTTTTCATGGGAATAAAGAGGGAAAATCGTCTACCAAAGAACAACAAAGTATATGCTACTCAGGTGAGCGTTGTCGCCCATGAACCTCTTACCAGCTCTACTAATCGACAACCAATAGAGCTTTTGTACTGGTAAAGCGTCTGTCCCCACCTGCATTTTTTTTCTTAAAGATATTTTTAAATACTAATAAGATTCAAATTCTCTTTATATATGTTTTGGTTATATGTGAATGGTGTTCACATACTAATTAATTAACAAGAAATAATCTGTAGAGTTACTTCAAAATGTCTCTCATCCTTCAATGTTTGATTGGTATTCTGTACAATTTTAGATATTTAAAAGACCCAAACTGCAATTTGAAGACATATATCTGTTGTGAACAGATTCTCATAAAGTTGTGCAAAATGTGCCCTGTTGAAAGGTAATTTAAAATTTTAAAAAAATCAATGATTTAAGTGTGAATATTTATCAGTTATTTTAGGTACATGTAAGTTGATCAAGCGGATACATGTGCCCTCTAATTGAGCGTGTCATACAATGTACAGTTTGTTCAGGCTTGTATATCCTGTTGAGAATACGTGTAACAGATTCATGTACGATGTTCTTATTCTAAGTTTTTCCACTTTAATATCGTTATCTTCATTTCTTTGAGTACAGATTGAAAATTTTTATCTGATACGACAGAGGAAACGTTTGTCGTGTCTACATACCTGGAATTTGAAACGTCGCTATATGTGTGCATATCATTTTGATGAAACATCGATGGAGTGTTTTTAAATACTAAGGTCGGAAAAGAAAGCAGGGTAATTATCTTGTAAAATTTGCCCTATTTGAGAGAGGATTTTAATAAATATTGTATGCATTACAGGTGAGGAAAAAAAATCTCATTCATCTGGCCGTAACATGGTTGACGCTAAGGTTAGTTGTCTAATGACTTGATTTTTTTTTCTCGATTTTCTGTATATTTTTTGTAAGACTTAAACATTGTCAACTACTACTTTTTTTATCTAATGATTTCTTTTTAATAGGAATTGATTTGCGATACTTTACACGAGTAATGGGTAATACAATGTGATGTTATCAAAGTAAACCTATACATGTATTATGCGCACCATTTGCAGCAGAAGTGTTAAATTATTACTGAGAAGAACGTTCATTTTCATACCGGTGATATGTTTGGTTTATGTTGGATATAACCATATAATATCAGATGGATACTATACACAGCAGTGTCAAATACAACGACCATTGGACGACAAGTCAATCAGAAGGCATTTTTGGGTTCCGGGAAATGTCAAGTGCTACTCCTGGCCAGAGCTGGTTTACCTCAATTCATCCGGGTTTCTTCACTTCAACCAATCAGCTGCTCCGTGGCCACCACACGATCAAAACTATCTGCGATGCAAATATTCCATCATATACTTATTTGGAATCAACGAGGCACGCTTTTATGAGTTCCATATCTCTTCATTTCCATTACAAGTAAACCGAGACTTTATCCATGTGTCTTGTAATATTAACGATACCACTGTTTATGCTAACTTCCTGTACAACGTGAATCCGAAAGTAAATGGAAGACATTTGATGCCTGAATCGGAAGAACAGCTTAACTTATTTATTTTTGGTTTCGATTCTGTGTCACGTTATCTCGCTGAAAAGAAATTAAGAAAAACTTTAGAAGTACTAGAAAAAGACTTAAAAGCCTATAGATTTGAGGGATATGCACGGGTGGGTGATAACACCTTTCCAAATCTACTGGCTGCCTTGACAGGGAAAACTATTGCAGAAGCAATATTTTCTCGGTCAGAAAATACTTTATACTCAGAAGTATTGAAGCGTGGTTATATTGACTGTCATGCCGAAGACTGGGCCACCTATTACCCGCCTTTGATAGTGTCTTACCCAAATTATACCCACTATCTGAGGACGTTCTTTTTTGCAAGAGAAATTCCGCCTCTGAAAATTTTGAAAAAGGGGAGATCATATGAAGACCTTCAAAATGTAGTTGACCCCAAATGTTATGGTAATCAATTACAACATAAGATTATTTTAGATTACAGTAGGAAGTGTATTCAGCAGTATAGACAGGCAAGAAAGTTTGTCTTCTTTTGGCAAAATGAAATAAGTCATCATCAGCCAAATTTCCTGTCCCTTGCAGACAAGGATACAGCTGACCTTATAACATGGATGAGAGACCACGGACATCTGAAAAATTCTGTTCTGATACTCATGAGTGACCACGGTCCTCGTTATGGCCCCATTGCCAGACACGAACTTGGAATGATCACAAGAAATCTGCCATTGTTAACTATTTATCTTCCGGAAAGTATGAAACAAAAATATCCACATATTCACAAAAATTTGCTCACAAATAAAATGCGTCTGACAACTCCCTTTGATCTTCACGAGACAATGAAGGATATTTTATTTCAAAACTTCAAGAGGGAAAATTTTTCACCGTTATCTGCACTGCCAAGAGGAATAAGTCTTTTCCAGGAAATACCTAAATATAGAAGCTGTTACGACGCCTCTATATCGGAAAACTATTGTCCTTGTTATTCCTATGCACCTTTAGATGTACAGACTCCTATCGTACAGAAATCAGCAGGGTTTGCAGTAATATATATAAATCTAAAATTATTCAACTCTAAATTACCGTGCACAAATTTGGGACTACATTCAATTCACTCTGCCAAACTTCAAAGAATTCCACAGAAAAAGTATTCAACGAAAGAAGTTCAGTTGACTGTTATCTTTGAAACAACTCCAGGACATGCAATATTCCAAGCGACAGTCAGAACCTATTCACAAAGTATAGATAGTATGAAAATTGTAGGAGAAATAGAAAGAGTGAACACCTATGGCAATCAATCTAGATGTGTCCCTAGCGGACCATTGAATAAACAATACCGTTTTTATTGCTATTGTAAATGATTTTTATTATAATTTTAGAATTTTTTAAATACAATTTCAACTTCCGTAAAGCCAACCACCAAATGTGATTCAAACTTTAAATGAATATTTAAAGTGTATCCATAATATATTTTTCGGTTTATTCCAATGAAATATCATTGAGATGGCAATTTCGTGTACAATTTCGAAAAAATCACGAATAAAAATTAAGTTATTCCCACTACATACAACATGAATTGTCATTTTTTTTAATTTATCGCAAATAATAAATTGTCCCAATATCTTAAAAGAGTTTGTTTACTGTTACACTTTTCAAGATCTGAAATATTAAAACTTATGACAAAATATTTGCCTTAAAGGTAATTTTCTTCTGTAAACTTATATTTGTAAAAAATCACAAAATACATAATATATGCGTATTTGAAAATGTATTTATCTCTGGCATATTTTAATTGTGATATCAGTCTTTCTTGAATTATAATGCTACTTAATTTCTTTCCATCTCAAGAGTTTTCATCAATTACTCAAAAAAACGAGAGCGCTTTTGATTGGCATTCGGCAGGAATCTGGGCGCACTTGAAAAGTGAAAATTTCATTGTTCTGTCACACGAAGTTTTAGCATTCTTTTGATGTATCGGATTCCTGTGAAATAGGAAAGGGAAATATTTTCCCGATATTGTGTTCTGATTTGCTAAAAAATAACTTGAAAATAGGCTAGATGATTCATTTGGTACAAAATGTCACATTTTTAAATACGTTCTTCTAAAAATTTGCTATCTCTGGGTCATCTCTCCATGATTTTCAAAAGTCATTTGTATGCTATCTGATTGAAAGAAACAAACAATAATTTGTAAGAAATGGAGAAAAGACCCAGAGACCTTAAAAAATGAACTTTTCCCAAAAAAAATTCTGATGTGTGAATTCGGTGCTTCATTGTCGTTTTAAAATCCAATTTGTGTGTGTAACGATGATAGCTCAGTAGTATGCGTTATCCGCTCAGTGCAATGAAGTCGAACATGTTTTGGTTCGATCCTCGCAATTTTTTTTTTTTTTTTTTTTTTTTTTTTTTTTTTTTTTTTTTTGCAAACAATCAATTCCTTTGTCAGTTTAATTTTTTGTTCTGATTTATTTGAAAATGGATAAATTTTGCTTCTGTTGCCTCGAGAGTGGAAGCAATTCTTCCAACCTACTGATACTTTAAAGATATACACGCTATAACTTGCGTCAGTTAAAAATAAAGTTGGAAATTTATTAATTTTGTGTACCAAATAAAGTTACAAAAATATTGTAAATTACACAATTTGAAATGGACGCATTATAAAGATCTCAAATTAAAATTATTTATTATCCTACTAGGAAAGTAATGCCTCTATTTAAATACATGCATCATGTGACACCGTCGCTACTTTTAGATTGATAAACAAAAATGGCATCAAGAAAACGAGGTAGGCCGTTTGGTATACAAAATAACTTTTGACATGGATGGCATACGTTTTATGCTTAAAGATACTTATCTTTGAAAACAACCAGTATTAACCATCTACTCTGTAATGACAAATATTAACTTTTATTCAAAATCGTAGTCAAAATGCAACGTACCTCGTTGTCTATGATTTCCCGCGGACATGCGTGTCTATATACTGTTTACGCACTTCCTTCATCAATATTCATGAATAGGCTGAATTCTTAATTGCAGATCTTGCTTAATTGTTTTGTAATTACAACGACTTATTTAGTAAAACTTTGTGGAAAGTAATTATTTTTTTTATTACACATCATGTTTCTCAAATCATTTAATCATTTTGTTTCACATAAAAAATCACGTTTATATAGCGTGTATATCTTTAATATACACGTGTACTTCTAATTGCATTTACCTATACCCTTATTATCTTGTTATGTGAAGCATTGCTATGTTATAGTTTGATTATTAAGATAAGCGGACCTTAGTATTACAATTTGACATGTTATTTCAAACTAAATGTAACATTTTCCTATGTGCGTAACTTTGTAAAACCGGTCCAGATGTGGTCAGCCGACCAAATCGTGGACATTTATTAAACTGTCATATTGTAATTTTTGAATTTACCGGGTGCTAGTAAATACAAAAATTACAATATTGTAATTTTTGTATTTACTACCACCCGGTAAATTCAAAAATTAAAATATGATTAAACTATTAATGTTTCGTACACATGATTCCTGCAGATCACACGCCAAATACGCCCATCTTCTTTCAGCGGGGAAGTAAGGGTTGTATAATCAGCTTATGACGAGGGTGCTTTGTGCGCGCGAGACAACTACACTATATTTTGAGATTTATCAAGTCTTGTTAAAAACTAAAGTTGTAAACAAAATGACTTGAGATTAAGTATAAATTAAGTATAAATTGATAGATCCAATGATAAATCAATGAATCAAAAGACCCTTGCAGGCATCAGTTTTACTACGGGCAATTATGAGTAACTGGGAGTCTGGTCAGTAAAGTGGACCCATGCAACACTGTACAGTTGTGAACATTATAATTAATGATGAATAAATATATGCAGGCGCGTAGCCAGAATGGAAGTGAAGTGTATACGCAGAGAACGGGGGGGGGGGGGGGGGGGTGCTTTCCAACTTTCACTAATCAAAATTTTATTAATACGTTACCAAATTACCAGATTGAAAGGTTAGGTTTGGAAATAAGTGTGGGGGGGGGGGGAGGCACCCCTCTGCCTCCTCCCCCTAAACTATGTCCCTGCTGGTGAGGGCCCAGAAGCTCCTAAGTTTTACCAAATATTTCACTCATTTTCTTGCAAAATAAAAAGATACTAGTTTGAAATTTAGCGTTTGTTTAGCAAATAAAAGACATATAGTAAAATTTATTGTTTTAACGCAAAGTTAACATATAGCAATATTTATTGTTTTATCGCAAAGTTAATACTTCCATGGAAAATTACTGTACTTGTAGTTTAGGCTAAATATTTAAACGGTATATATTGGTATCATAGACTCTTTCTTAAACGTTCAAAAACGCGTATACTTAATTATTGATAACTATTAGCAAAAAATACGTATTTTAATCATATACTAGTAATTCATGGCATTCAACGATGTGTTTGAATTTTAATTTCTCAAAGATTTTTTAAAATTAATGTCAATGTATTAAAGAACAGTTACAATTTAACGAATGATTTATTGGAAATTGGCAATGATTTGATAAAGGATTTCAATTTTTTTTTTTTACACAGTCATATAAAATAAAATTTCAATTGAAACTGTATGATACAAAAATAATTCATAACACGAATATTTGTTGGATGAAAATGAGATTTTTTTTCTTTGAATCTCCTCTCTCTCTCTCTCTCTCTCTCTCTCTCTCTCTCTCTCTCTCTCTCTCTTTGGTCAAATGATGTGTACGCACTTGCGTATTTGCGTATAGGCAGCTACGCGCCTGATAAGTATCTATTCATCCCCAACCACGAAAAAATTACTTTGTAAATAATCAAAAAAGTAATTCTTACCAGTAAAAATAGTATTTTTATACAACTACCAACAGAAGCTCAAAGGCGGTTTTGATTTACACATTATGGCAAACAAGATTACTTCAAAAATTTTAACATTGGTTATAACTTTTGAATGGCATTCATATTTGTAGCTGCAGAACTGTAGCGTTGTGGTTTTATATTTTAGTCTTTGGCCATAAAGACTAAAATATAAAACCATAACGCTACAGTTCTGCTGCTATCATATTTGACATGTGCATTACCTGTGACAAGACGTTTCCGAACATGCTATGATTTTACCCTGTGGCCTTGACCTTGAAGTTTAACCAAATTTTAAAAAATTTAACGTAGGTGATAACTTGTGACTGAGAGAAGATAGGGCGTTCATATTTGATAAGTGCATTACCTGTGACAAGACGTTTCCAAACGTACTATGATTTTCAACCCAATGACTTTGACCTCGAAGTTTGACCAATTTTCTAAAATGTTAACATTGCTTATAACTTTGGAATTAGAAAAGTTAGGACATGTATATTTGACGTGTGCATTACCTGTTTCAAGATTTTCCGAATGTACTCTGGTTTTTGACCTCGTGATTTTGACCTTAAAGTTCAACTATCAGTTTTTTTTCATTTTTTTTTTACATTGGTAATAACTTTTGATTGAAAGACGATATGACTTTCATATTTTGCATGCACATGTGCATTACCTATGAGAACACCTTTCAGAAAGGTTTATCATTTTTGACATAACCTTGATCTACATGTACAAGTTTAAAGGACACACAGACAAGACAGTTACAATATGCCATAAATAATGGTATCCCAACCACTAAGACACCGAAAGCGGGGGACTAAAGTTCTTTGAATTTGCTTGTTTTACATATTTTCAACTTCTTTTGTGAAAGACATTTCTTTAAAGGTCAGAAAGATAGAGGATAGAAAGAGTTGCTGGACCTGGGATACCTACATTACACACAAAATTTAAGTTGAATTAATTCGCACTCAAATCCCATCACATTTCTAATGGTCACCCATGGCGCAGTAGTTAGAGCGTTTGCTCTTGAGTCGCAGTGAAAGAAGTTGAACCTTATGTCGCGCGTTCGAATCCCACTGCGGGACGTGGAGACCGGTCCTTCGGAGACCGTATAAATCTAGGTCCCGTGTCGCAGTAGGTGCTGGCACAAAAAACATCCCTCACTGTTTAATGGCCCTCAGTGCCAAGTATAGGTCTAAATTTGCTGCCCTCCAGCGGCAAATGATGGTGTATTCACATGAGTGTAAATAATTCTCGAGAGGGACGTAAAACAACAAGCAAACATTTCTAACGCCCACCTCGTTCGCTGCACATTACGCGACTGTCAAACAATGATACCCTAGTACATCACGTGACTATTAATAAGAGGCCAATCCATATAAAATGCATTTTTTAATTCAACAATTCTCGTTTCGGTGATTGTAATTTAACAATTTTGCAAATTAAAATAAGGATATATTATAAAAGTATCTATCGCCCAATATATTGCTTTCTTTAGCATATATCTGCTTTACTTTTAAATGTCCGTTCCATTTTCCTTTCAGCACCTCGTATATCTTTCCCAAATCTGAATATGATACAATAATACTGAGTATGAGGCACATATAAAGGGTTTATTTCACTTATGCAGTGGGAATATTTTAATCGATTAAGTAATAGATATACCATAAAATTTTAACGGTTTTGTGTAGGTGTGTGTGTGTGTGTGTAGTGTAAAGTATAACATGGTTGGGTTTCACGACCCCGGGTTTTACTTCCAAAGAAGAAGTTGAGTGAGGTTACCCGGGATCATGAAATCCAAAACCATTATAGTATAATTTACACTACACCACAAAACAGTTAAAATATGTATGGTATATCTTATTGTTTTAACCTATGATTTTAGAATTAAAAAATCAAATTTTAATTAAACGAAATCTATATCAAAAGTGATATGTGTATATAATATTTTAATCGTTAATAATTTTCTATTCCTGTAATGTTTCACAAGTTTCAAATTTCCATGCAATATTAAGTTTTCTGATAACAGTGCGAGTATGGTTGCTGTATTTACAACTTTTGTCACCTGTAATTGCTAGTTGTGTTTCTTTTCGTATGGTGCGACGTTCCATTGCTGTATCGAGTTTATCGTTTTGAAAGAAATACATCTAAATGAACAACACAATATTATATTATATTTTAATATATAATTGAATAATTCCTTTCTCTCTGATTGGCTAAGATAGCAACTAAAGTAGATTTTAAAAATTCCAAATTAATAAGACTGGTTATGTTCATTTAACACTGCTTCTGTCATTGCATTTGACTAGGACTTCAGCAAATGTAAACAAGTAAGATGGCATGAACTGCTTAATGAGTTCGTATCATTTAACAATTGAATCATATAACTAAACAATTATAATTGCTTTTTTTCAGTCAATACGATGATGGCTAAATTCTCAGGTGGCTAAATTATCGTATTGACCTCAAAAACAGCAATAATCGTATTATATTATATTTTGTTAAATTTTAGAAATATGAGAGTGAACTTTATGAAAGAAAGGTAAAATCTACACCTAAGGGATACCAGACCAAATTTTAGACATTTACAATATTCAAATAACTAGCTAAAATATATAAACATATTAATAAATAGTATGAGACCCTCCCCCTTTTCCCCCTCGACAAACAACCTTTCTTTCTTTGGCGTGTACAGGCATTTCCGATAACTAACTTGTATGGAATATTTAAATATTTCAACATAATGTTCTCTTATTTGAATGACATATAGACACAGGACTACTCAAGATCATAAATCTAGCTTTTATTGAACGTAGTTACAACATTTACAATATTCAATAAAAACTTGCTAAAATATACAAATATGTTAATACATAGTATGACCCGCCCCCCTTCCTTACCCCTCGACAAACACATTTTCTTTCTTTGGCATGTACAGGCATTTCCGATAACTAACTTGTATGGAATATTTGAATATTTCAACATAATCTTCTCATATTTGAATGACATATAGACACGGGACTACTGGATATCATAAATTTAGCTTTAATTAAACTCACTTCAGTACTAAAGAAGGAATCAGTATGTTCTGAATAAACATTTATTGAAAGGAAAAATACTGTGAAAACACAAATTTTCTTGTGAGGATTTTCATTGTTTTCAAGGTATGAAGAGTCCCACGAATTCATGTCCGCCACGAAATGTAAAATTTCATATACACAACTACTCAACAATTTTTCATCCAGAGATCAAATCCCGCCGAACCAAAATTTTTCCTCTCGCTGATTTTATTCGGCAGACATATGTTGGGTATTTTAATTAAGTTAGAATCACTCTATAGTAAGGCCAACTTTAAAATAATGTTCGTCTCCCCTCTCCCGAATCAAAATAAAAAAATGGGTCGGTAGGTAGGTGAGAAAATTTTTTTCCCATAAAAATTTCAAAATCTATTTTACAGAATGCGTAAAAAAAAAAAAATAATAATTGCTTTCTGGAGGTCCAAAAAGTTTGAGTCGGGCCAGTTTTAGCCAGTCGGTCGTGAGAGGGCATGCAACATTTTTTTAAAGATGGCCGAATCCAAAAGGTTATGGTAGCAACTTGGGAGAGAAAGAATTTATCTACAATAAAATTAACATAGAACCTATTACAGAAGAAATGTAATTAATGCATAAATGAATAAAAATATACATGTTCATCATTAGGTCACATTCTTCAACTTTTGGGATTTTTTTTAAAGAGTACCCCATTTCCTTTCCACCTTTTATCATTTTTTATTTTGTCCCTTCACTTTGAAATTCGCTTCTACAAGTTTGCATCCCCTCCAAAAATAAAATCAGAAAGAGTTATATGTGGGGAATGCATGTGTACGGTATCTACCTGTGACGTCATAGTTACTAAAACGCAACAATTAGCGTGACGTAATAATCATCACCATAACAAAAATCAAAAAGAGCGAACAAAACACGGAGGTAAATATACTCATTTCGTTGAGATTATTTGTGATAAGACAGTCTGATTCTAAGTTGAGGTACATTTCTAGTAATTCTTACGCAAAGTCCTTCTTTTTTATAGAATGAAAACCATGGACTACATTGAAGTTCTAGATTTCGGGGAGAACCCTGCCACAGATGCGGTAAGCTCAGTTCCATGTATAGGTACTGTGTAGGCACCCTCATCTTAATCGTTAAATAATGATAAATCTATCATACTAGTAGCAAAATTATTTTGTAATTACTAATAAAAATGGGGAGCCTCCATGCTCATGTGATTTCATCTCCAATCAAAATGGTTGATTTTTTTTTTTTTTTTTTTTTTTTTTTGGTCTTAGATTCTTCAATACCCGAAACTCCACCCCACCCTTTCTTTGAAATGGCATATGCTTTCATGAATCTGTTTCGCATTAATGATTTTTTTTTTAGGACACGAAACTAGAGATCTTAAAATTCAGTTACAACTGGTCTGACGCAGTGGAAGAGGAGGAAAGGCGTATGGAGGTACAGATATAAATTACTTATGTCTATGTCGAACTTACTTTACTTGCATGTCTATAAATGAAAAAAAGTCTTTTTGTGAGAGTTTTAAATTTATAATGTTATATTTTGACATGGATTTTTTCAACAAGGCTACAGTATCAAATGACTACATCTTGAAAAATTTTCATTAAAGGAAAAATAAAAACAGATGATATACACTACGGACTAATTTATAGTGATGTTTTCACTGACCAAATATATTTTATATAATAGGAGGGACAAAAGCAACAAAAAGAGATGAAGAAGTTGGAAAAAGAAATTGCAGGGGAGGAGAAGAAAGATAGGAATAACATTAATAACAGGTACCATACAATCACCAGCTGTCACAATTGATAAAATATTGCTATCATTTATTTTTGTAGTGATGCAACATGTACATCATTTCTGCATAACATGCTTTCTCTGCTTCCTGAATGTCACATCAGGAAAGGAATAAGGGGTTATTCTTAAACTTTTAAGGATTTTTTTGTTCAAAAAAAATCTGTGAGATCTTTGGTTTTGAAGAGTATTTTACCTTTCCTCCACCTATTATAATTTTAATTTGCCCCTTCACTGTGAATTTGCTGTTGCATGTTTGCCTTCCCTCTCCAAAAATAGAATTAGAAAGCGGAATAACAGATGAATAGCGTATACGGTAGTTACATGTAGAGAATTTTTGTGCAGTATCTACATTTTATATGTGACGTCATAGTTACTACAACGCAACAATTATAATCATCGCTACAACAAAAATCAGAAAGAGCGTACAAGACACGGAGGTAAAAGCCACTCAGATATTAATACTCAGTTTGTTTAGATTACTTGTGATAGGACAGTGTGATTCTAAGTTTGAGAACATTGTAATTCTGACGCAACGTCCTTTATTTTTGTAGAATGAAAACCATGGACTACAATGAAGTTCTAGATTTCGGAGAGAACCCTGTCACAGATGTGGTAAGCTCAGTACCATGCACATATGCTGAATAGGCAATCAGACGCTCTTATCTTAATCGTTAAATAAAAATAAATCTATTATACTAGTAATGCACACGAATATAGAGTATCGGAATTATTTTTCATTTACCATTTAAGATGGGGACTACCCACAATCATTTCAAATCAAAATGCCTTATTTGGTCTTAGATATTGACATCTTCCCTTCCCCCCTCCTTCTTTTTAAAAATGTCATATGCTGTCAGAATCTGTTTTGCATTAATTATTTTTTCAGGACACGAAATTAGAGATCTTAAAATTCAGTTACAACTGGTCTGACGCAGTGGAAGAGGAGGAAAGGCGTATGGAGGTACAGATATAAATTACTTATGCTATGTTGGACTGAAGTTTAATTACTTACATCACAGTAAAAAAAAACAAAACAAAAAAAACGCCCCTCTTTTGATAAAAGTTTTTAAATGTATATCGTTATTCTTTTTGAAGTAGTTTTTTTCCAGCAAAATTACAGTATTGTTAATTAAAAGCTATAACGACATTTTGAATTATTTTCTTCCCAAGACAAACAGCTGATATACACTACGGACAAAGTCATGGTTATTTTTAGTGTACTACTTTATTTAATAGGAAGAACAAAAGCAGCAAAAAGAGATAAAGAAGTTTGGAAAAGAAATTGTAGAGGAGGAGAAGAAAGATAGCGAAAATCACAACAGGTGTGGTACAGTAACTGTCCCAAACACTATTACCATGTATGGTTTATGTATCAATATTTAACAGTAGTATCACAATTTATAAAATATTTGATATTATTTACAGAAAACAACTGGATAACATTAAAACAAAACAACACAAAGCAAGGAAGCATGGAAAGTCCTATATGAAAAAACAACAGAAAATGAAACTGGAGGTAAAAGATCAATTTTTCAGTTACATTATAGTGTATCATTTTTGCTCTAGTTAATATTTTTTTAATTTTCTAATAAAGAATTGATGATAGGGTGTGCCAATGAAGACCAAAATCATAATGTTCAGATTATAGAAAAGCATAACTGTATTTTGATAATAACTAAATGTGAAGGCTATTTCTTTTTTACTATTCTTTAGGCTGCTGAATCCACCAAACAAATGATCGAAGGAGATACAAGAAAGGCATCTGGAGATAAGAAATTAACTCTCATTACAGAAATCTCCAAACAATTAACAGTATATGATACCAAAATATCAGGAGAAAATTCAACTGCATTGGATGAAGAAGTTTCATTTGAGAAGTCAACTGCATGTGATGAAGAAGTACCAGGGGAAAAGTCAACTGCATCTGATGAAAAAATGCCAGGGAAGAGGTCAACGCCATGTTATGAAGAATCATCAGAGGAGAAAAAAACTGCATGCCATGAAGAATTGTCAGGAGAGAAGGAAACTGCATTTGATAAAGAAGTGATAAAGATGTCGACAGCATGTTATGATGTATCATTGGAAAAATCAACTGCACATGATGGCGGGTTGTCAGAAGAGAAGTCAAATGCCTGTGATGATGCAGGAGAGAAGTCAACTCCATGTGATAAAGAATTTTCAGAAGAAAAGGCAACTGTGTGTGATGAAAATTTGTCAAAGGATATGTCACCAGCATATGATGAAGATTTGTCAGGAGAGAAGGTAACTGCATGTGATGAAGAAGTGTCAAGGGAAAAGTCAACTGTGTGTGATATAGAAGTGTTAGAGGAAATGTCAACTTCAACTGATGAAGAATTGTTTGGAAAGAAGGACATTGCAAGTGGTGAAGAATTGTTTGAAAAGAAGGACATTGCAAATGGTGAAAAATTTGGAGAGAAGGACACTGCATGTGATGAAAACTTGTTTGGAGAGAAGGACACTGCATGTGATGAAAAATTGTTTGGAGAGATGGACACTGCATGTGATGAAAAATTGTTTGGAAAGAAGGACATTGCAAGTGGTGAAGAGTTGTTTGGAAAGAAGGACATTGCAAGTGGTGAAGAATTGTTTGGAGAGGACGCTGCTTGTGATGAAGAATTGTTTGGAAAGAAGGACACTGCATGTGATGAAAAATTGTTTAGAAAGGACATTGCAAGTGGTGAAGAATTGTTTGGAGAGGACACTGCTTGTGATGAAGAAGTGTCAAAGGAGAAGACAACTCCATGTGATGAGGAATTTTCAGGAAAGAAGGCAACTGCATGTGATGAAGATTTATCAGAGGAAGTACCACCAGCATGTGATGAAGATTTGTCAGAGATGTCATCAGCATGTGATAAAAATTTGTCAGCAGAGAAGTCAACTGCACGTGATGAGAAAACGACTGAGGAAAAGTCAACTGTCTGTGATGAAGAAATGTTGAGGGAGAGTTTAACTCCATGTGAAAAAGAATTGTTGGGGGGAAAGTCAACTCTTTATAATGAAAAAGTGTCCATGAAGAAGTCAATTGAGGAAGAAGATACATGTATAAATGTTCCTGTAGCAGTAGGCCATAAACAAGAAGTTGCTAAAGACCAGGAGAAAACATTTCAGGTAATATAAAATTGAATTAGACTTGTATAGTAAAATTTACAATCACATTCAGTTAATGCTGACTCATCTATATCATATGAAGGATATTACTTAAAATATGATTATTATTTATTATTCACCTACATATATTTCAGCCTTTAATTGAGGATGATTATGGTGCTGGCAACAATGACGATGATGATGATGGTTGGTTTGGTCCACGTAAACTTTTCTTGTTTGATATAGCCTATTTTAAGGTATAGTTCAACTACTTTGATGTTTTCTTTTGATTTGGTTTTTGATTTGTATAAAAACAGTTTTTAGTCCCGTTGCAAACATTTCTTTTTAATAAATGTAATATTCACTTTATACATTGGTGCAAGTTTTGGTCTTTTCCTAAATTTATAAATCCTATACACACTTTCTCATCTCTAAGATTTTTTTCTGTAATTGCCCTATAGAATTTGAATGACTTCAATCTAAAAAAAATCTTATTGATATTGTCCGCCTTTTCTTCCCTCCTCAAAACAAACATAACATCAGTCCTGTAGGAAGCAATTTCAGTTTGGGGGTGCTACCAAGTAAAAATTCCTTGACAAGCAAAAAAAATAAATGAATTTATAATAAAAATAAAAAGGTCAACATTTTTTTTTATTGAGGGGCACATCCATAAAGTAGCTTTGTTCTCTTTTGTGTAATGTATGTGGCAAAATTATAGAGAGGGTCATGCCACTTGTTTACCTTGTAGATATATATGTACATAATTATACATGTATTAAAAGTAGTGAATCATTATTTCTATAATTATCATGTTAATTAAGTTATATCTAAACTCACTTTTTTATTTGCTGTAGGATGCTGGAAAAGCTGTCTGATAAAAAGAAAAGAGAAAGAAAAACTTTTTTTAAGAAGACAATTGAAAACTGCTTCTTAATGAAAAAAATAAATTTTATTTCTTCATGAGTCAGAATCTTTGTTCTTTAATTATACAATTTAACTCATTTATTTAAAATATATAGAAGTAAAAATCCAGGTTCATACTTATTTTTTAAATTTTATTATATTGTATAAACTGTATACATGTATGTCGAATAGAATATATTCTGTGAACAATCATGATGATAAAATTTAAAGAGAAATGCATATGCAATTTCTCCAATGTCTATGAAGGGTAATGTTGAATAAGCATGGCTCTCGATTACAGTAGCACAAATGGATAGAATGTTGATCAACAAATTGAGAATGATATAAAGATTAACAATGGCCTGTCAAATTAAATCAATTACCACATTAAGTTCCTGTGATCTTTAAATCAGATGAAAGCCCCCCCCCCCCCCCCCCCGAATTAATCGTGGTTTATAATAAAGAAAAAAATCAGCATTCTGAACAAAAGATGTTACAGTTGCAAAACTTTACTCATGATTGACTATTTTTTTCTTTATTCTAAAATAAACTAATTATCAGTGCCCAACAATGCATTTGGTCAGTGTTTGTGGCAATTTTCAGTTATGATTCTGCTTTCATTTTTTATAGCTATATTTGCTAGGTCTTTAACTAAAATTTACAAAACCTCCTTTGTATTACTTTGTGAAATAAATGCAGATCTGTAGAAATTCTACCTGATGATAGTGTAGTTATCAAACATCAATTTTTGTAAAGAAAAAATGACAGACTTTACCTGTATTCGGCTTTTGCATTTTAAGTTAATGGAAAGTGCACATTTCACACATTATTTGGTTTTACCTGTTCCTATTATCGTCTACTCCTTGAATCAACCACAGAGAGAGATTTTTCTTTTTTTCTGTGAAATATCAATGCAAACACTAATGACTTAAAGAGGGTTATTTAAACATCAAACGTTTCAAGCCATTTTTTTCTTTCAGTTTTTTCGTTCCATACTCTGTTCAAATTTTAGCAACACCTGGCTTTTTATACTTCTATATCTAGATAATAAATTAATTTTTCAAAGAACAATTTCAACTGAAGTATTTGATAATACATCAACAGTAATCAAAATCAAAATCCACAAGGCCTTGTACATATAGAAATACACTGGACAACAGGTAGCGTGAGTTTCTGACTCAGGTATAAGCTAAGCCAAATCAATTACATCTTAAATCCATTCAGCATACTCTGAAGGCAGATTTGTGGTTCCTAAAATCCAGATTGCAACCAATTTTATGTTCAAACCAAGCAGTAAAGATCCAAAACCTAGATTTCTTTAGAAGGAAAACAAGAGGTCCATGGGCCACATCGCTCATCTGAGCACATGACTAGGGAAAAGCAGAAATCAGTTTAATATTGATTAGTGATCGCAAATACACCCCCATCCCCAACTAACCGGAGGAAAGGGTGCATGATTTGTTCACACTTGAATATACACTAACTGAGAATGCTTCCATATTTCGTTGACTAATCATGGCTTTAAATATTTTTCTATATGTTTGATCTACTATTGTAGCCCTACCCCCCAGGAATAAGATTTGACAAACTTGAATCTACACTACCTGAGGATGCTTCTGAACTATATGACTAATCATTGGAAGAAGATTTTTAAAGATATTTCCTGTATATCCCAATGTAAAACATTGATTGCCCATTGTGGCCCAACCCTAAACCTGGGGGGAAGGGGAAGGGGGGTCATGATTTAAAACATCTGAATCAACATAACCCGAGGATATTTCCATATAAATATAACTAATCACAGCTTTGCTGTACTTGAGATTTTTCCTATAAATTCTTAATATGTAAAAATTTGATTGCCCATTGTGGCCCCACCCTACACCCAGGGGTCATGATTTGAACAAATTTGAATCTACACTGCCTGAGGATGCTTCCATATAAATTTGACCAATCATGACTTTGCTGTTCTTGAGAAGATTTTTAAAGATTTATCCTATGTACTCCCATGTAAAACTTTGATCACCCATTGTGGTCCCTCCCTACCACTGAAGGTCATGATTTGAACAAATATAAATGTAAACTATCTGAGGATCCTTCCATATAAATATGCATTTCTTGAGAAAAAGATTTTTAAAGATTTTTCCTATGTATACCTATGTAAAACTTTAATCGCCCATTGCATCCCCTCCCTATCGCCAGGGGTCATGATTTGAACAAACTTGAATCTACACTACCTAAGGATGCTTCCTTTTTAATATGACCAGTCATGGCTTTGCTGTTCTTAAGAAGTAGATTTTTAAAGATTTTTCCTGTATTTTCCTATGTAAAAATTTGATCACCCATTGTTGCCCCATCTTACCCCTATGTCAGGAAGCTTTTACATAAGTTTCAGCTTTTCTTGCCCAGTGGTTCTTGAGAAGATTTTTAAATGACCTCACCCAAACTTTACTTTTTCTTAATTATCTCCCCTTGGAAGATGATGTGGCCCTTCATTTGAACAAACTTGAATCCCCTTTACCCAAGGATACTCTGTGCCAAGTTTGGTTGAAATTTGCCCTGTGGTTCTGCAGAAAAAGATGAAATTGTAAAAAGTTTACAACGACAACAATGGCAGACTGATCAGAAAAGCTCACTTGAGCCTTCGGCTCAGGTAAGCAAAAAACAGAAAAGAAATAGGTTTCTGATATTTTAATGCAATTTCCAAGAAAACAATTTATATATAGTTATCTACATATGATCACAGACCAACAGCTTATTATCAACAAAATAAAAGACAAAAGATAACAATAGCACACAATACCAACAGACATATAACACAAAGGAACTACATATAGCTGTTATTCATACCAGTTACTAGACTGTATTGCTAATAGAACTATTTTAACATAAGTTTAATATGCTGATGAAAAGTTGAAAACATTCATTCAATCACGAAATTGATAAAACAAGAGTACATGGGCCACAACGCTCACCTGAATAACTATGGCCCAAGTTCTTGTTCTTCGTCAGTAAATCCTTCTTCCTACATACACCAGCGTATATTTCTATTTAAAACTTTGACTGCTCATTGTAGCCCCACCCTACCTTATAGGGTCATGATTTGACTTTGGCAAACCTACATTACCTGAGGATGCTTCCAAATAAATACATGTATGACTAATCAAGGCTTTCTTAAATCTACACTACCTGTGGATGCTTCCAGTATGACTAATCATGATTTTGATTTTGATGTTCCTGAGAAAAATTAATTTTTTTTTCTCTGTTTTCCTATGTAATACTTTGATTGCCCATTCTGCCCCCCCCCCCCCCCCACTTCCCTGCCCCTGCCAGTTATGATTTGAACTAACTACCTGAGGATGTTTCAATATAAATATGACTTATCTTGGCTTTGCTGTTCTTGAGAAGATTTTTAGATTTATCTGATATATACCCATGTAAAACTTTGTTCGCCCATAGTGCTCCCACCCTATCCCCAGGGGTCATGTTTTGAACAAACTTGAATCTACACTACCTAAGGAAGTTCCCATATAAATTACATGCATGATTAATCCTGACTTTGTTGTTCTGGGGAAAAAAGTTTCATCTTTTCTGGCCCAGTGGTTTTTGAGAAGATGACAGACAAAATTTGATCAGAAAAGCTCACTTATGCCTTTGGCTAAGATGAGCTAAAGAAAAAAAAGACATACAGTGTACTTAAATAAAACATTTATCACACATCTTGAATTGTTGTTTAGATGTATAGTACTGATGTAATTTTTTTCCCAATAGAATAAATAACAACAAATTAAGTATACCTAGAACAGTGCCTGCTTCCTCTATATCTTATAGAATGAGCCAAAGAAATCTATAAACATTGTAATGAACAATAAATAGGAGATTTCAAAAGCCTGACATACCTGGTACAGTGTACGTTATGTTCACAGAAAGTTTCTTTTCTAAAAAGTGGTTACAATATGTGTTGTGTAATGAGCTCCTACACTTGTTAAATATTTTTAGTATATAATAATTCAGACTTAAACAATTCACAGAGGTATATAGGAAATACAAATTCAACAATTAAGGAATGTTAGAGGATAATATCATTAAATCAGAAGAAAAAAAATCTGACAATACAAATATTTTCTGTTTACAGACTACCATTTATTATCAATAGCATGATTATGTTTATTTTCTATAAATAGACAAGACTAGAATGATGAACAATAGTACATCGCCACTCTCCTAGTGCATACACGCTTAAAAAAGACATACCTGGTACTTGAACAAAAATGGATGCAAAGTAGACATTAATGCCACAAAAATATCACATTTACATAAAAAAGGAGTCCTTGAAATCCAATTCCCTTCTGTAAACAGCAGTTTTATTTTTTGTTGTATTTGTATACGTTGACAAAACAATATCCACTTCCTTAAGGTCAAAGGTCATCTGGGGTGGGAGTTTAGAATTAGAGCTTACGGACATACAACGATACACATACATCTACACATACTACTGAAATACACTTCAAACCCTGACCCATAATTTACATTTACCAATCACAGAATATGTTAAGGGACTTATAATAAATAACTTAAAGTCAAATCAATGGCACAAAATAAAGAATTCCAAAAAATAAATAAGAGTCCTTCATAACAGCTGAGACAGCCCTTATGTTGAACACAATTAGATAAGGGTAATGTTGCCATAGCATTCACTTCTGACATTACATTCAGCTTAACTCACCATAACATATATTTCTAACATTCTTAACTCCTAAATCTTATACAGTGGTTGAATGTACATACTGTATCTCAGAATCCACTATTAACTTTTATAATATGAGCTCCATAAAATATGGTATGTGACCTTTCATGAAGTGATTTCAGTATGCATGCTACATCTGCCATGCACTGTTGTTAAATAATTTATTATGCTGTCCAATATCGCACCATGGTTTCCCTCTCTGGTAGTGATCGGAACTTCATGGACCCATCAATTCCACAAGAGAACAGATTATGTTCTGGCCCAATGGCCACCTGTGTTACACCTGAGGTGGAACCAATGTTCTTAAAAAATGTACTTTTACTGTGTTCTCCTGGGAAGCTGACAACCAGCTGATGAACATCCAATCCCCAAACCTAAAAAATACGGAAATTTGCAATTTCTGTCAACATGTTTTGTTTTTTGAAGGGTTGAAAGTTTTTTTTCAATATTTTAGAAATATGGCAAGTGGAAAGAAACTTTGACAGCTTACTTAACATTGCTTCTTATAAAGGATGAGAAAGTTGATTAGTGGAAACTTTGAATATTATAAATCATTCACCAATTTTGTCTACATATCCACATTGTCAAAGTTTCCATGTTCACAGTATACAGTATTTTTATACTTGTTTGATACAAATGTTTGCATTTATAATCTGTGTATAGTTTTAATCAAATAGATACTGTATATATGAATGCAATAGTTTCCTGTGACTGTATCTATTTTTAATTTCTACTTTCAACATGTAACTGAAGCAAAGGATATTGTAGAAGAAGTAAAATGACAAAAAGTGAAATCTTTCACTCAGAAAAATACTACAGTTGTGCTAAAGGAAATGATACACCTAATTCCCCACAATTAAAGCATGCAACTGCATCTCATTAAGTATCCACAACTGCAACACATCTGCAAGTTTGGATACCCATGAGATAAAGTCTGAAAATGATTTAATTACAGAGCTTAACTTTACATCTACAAATATACAGCATAATGCTGCTTCCAGTATACCCCACTCCCTTCCTTCAACTCCATTGCAAGGGGGTATAAAAATTAAATGTGTGACATGTAGACTGTACAAAAAGAATTTACACATTAACATCTATTCTCATCTTCAATTTTAAACAATAAAACTTTCAATCACTGACCTTAAGATCTCCCTCAGCAGATCCAGTGACAAAATACTCCTCCTCTGGGTCCATAGCTAGACATCTGATTGGTACATCATGTGCTTGGAAGGTGTGTCTAAGCTGTCGCTGACGGATGTCAAATATACAGACTTCCCCTTTGCGTCCTCCTGATATTAAAAGCTGGTGATGTGGAGCATATACAATGGCTGGACAGCCATGTTCATGACAGATGAATGCTGTGATTATACAAGGCAGATGATTTATATCACAGTTCTATACATTTCTATTTACTTTCAAATGTCCTAATTAAAGAAATAAAAAACAAATTAAAAAAAATATATTTCTGGAACAAAATATCAGAGGTTTGGCAGCAAATATGTCTACTCAATCTTTACTTTCAATTATGAACTAGACTTTTCTAAAGGATGTATAATGAGGTTTCCATCACACAGAACAGTCATTCTAATGTTTCTTTAAATCCCCGTTGAATACTCACAATGGACACATGCACTCCTAGGGGGCAGCAGTGTGTCCCATAAACACACATTTCTGCTCTCTGATGAATGCCCTGCTGTAGCAATGAGACTGGAGGAACCAATAAAGCTAAAGTCACTGGTGGTCTTATTGTGGCAACGTAAACTCTGCAAAGAAGCCAGGTGAATGAAACAGAAACACTTTTTTTCCCTTAGATATCTATTTCATATACTAGCATTCCTAATGTACATACCAGGATGGGTTTGGTGAAGTTGCTGCCTAGACCAACTTGCCAGAGACAAACATCTCCCTCAGTATCACTCACACAGCACTGAAAATAAACCAGGAACTATTTTATCATTTATGGATAAAACTTAATCATATGCCTAAAATGAACATGCTATAGCTACCAGAATCTTTCCATGTGAAATGTTTTTAAAAAAAGAGGAATGCTAATTTTAATTACAAAACTAAGCTGAAAACCATCAATTTTTACCTTATTTCCCTGGGCACTAAACAAAACCTTTGTCACTTTGGGAAAAGCTCCTGGTTGTCGTAGCATTGCCAGTGGTTGCATATGACCCCATTCATACAACCTGACACTTCCATCTGCACTGCCAGTCAAATCTTAAAGTACACAGAAGTTTTTACCTTCATTTCAGAAAAACTTCGTACAAAGGGACAATTACATGAAGAGTTCAACAATTTAATAAAAAAAAATTCAAAATCTAGATACATTGTGTATCATAAGAAATATTTTTTGTGACGATAAATGAATCAAATTAGAATGTTCTAAGGGTCCCTGGACTTTCAGGTGAACAGTAAACATCCTCAGTCATAACGGACAGTTAACTTACAGTGAGGAAGATTGGGATGGGGACCTATTCTTCTGACCCCTGCCACTGGTCGCTTTAATATCTGTAAGAAAACAATTCATTACCAGATTAATGTTTTGAAAAAAACGTTTTCTCTGTTTTATCTGTATAACATTGATTCTGCATTATAAGAAATAATGATCACTCTTGGTAAAAAATTTATACATTAAGGCAACCTCAATGTCAGTCACACATGATGGAATACAAAACACAACCTAAGCACAGAATGCTTCTGTCTACTCCTAGTTAAGTATTTCATCAAATACTTATTATTTTATTTTATGAAAAGCAAAACACAATATTAAATCTTACAAATAGCTGAAAATTACATAAACTGTTCATAGAACTACATGTAATTCACATCAATTAGTCAAAGCATGCTCTCGCATTAATAATTTTAACCTTCTGACCTTGACCTTTGGCCAAGTGAATTCAAATCTACAGGTGTCTTCATTTTACTACCTTTCACTTATATACTCGAAACAAAGATGTTATGTTGAATTTTTTTTTTTGACTTGGATATACTTTGTCACATGTTCACATATACATGTATATATGATAATCTTCACAAATGGACCTTCTTCTTTATTTAATTCTTTCTTAACTCCCAATCTACTGTGTTGTCCTCTAAGCATTCCCCAGCTCTATACAACATGTTCGGTATTCGAAATATATGTATTGTATGTATCACATCCAAGTGTTGATGGACAGTAGGATAGGCAAAAAAGTTATTCCTACATGTAATCTTAATGAATCTACATGTATTTCTTAACTACTATCTTTATCTAGTAATATCAAAACTTCCCATCAAAAAAGAAGCCTGACACTAGAAAAAAACACTATATTTGGCACACAAAAAATTGTGTAAGTACATACATCAAATATAGAATGTTAACACAGGAAAATAATAAAAGATCACTTGACTAGATATAAAGGACTCAGCTTGGAAGGATAAAACAGAACTGAACAGTGTTGGAAGCTATGCACACCACTGACAACAGCAGTCTTACCACACGCAGCAGACGATGACTCCTGTCATGTATCTGTTGTGAGATTTGGGGATTCGTTATCCCTGGGATGTTTATACCTTTTGTCTGACAGAGGTAGCAAGAGAGAAAGACAGAAATGTAACTTAACCCATATGTGCATGTGAATTTAATAATAGTTTTACAGAATTTCAGCTGTAAAAAAGAAAAAGAGATGTAGAAAATAACACTTAATGCATGCCTTAAATACAGAGTCATATGTGTATCACACACAGAAATGTAATTTATACTTTTCCAACACCTCAATTTGCTTCCTATTTCAAACATTTTGCAAACAGTTTTTCAAGACAATTTAATAAATATGAATAATATGCAACATGAAAAGCTAAATGTAAAATATATCTTACATATATACAATTGATATACACAATTAAATAGATTCACATACATGTACATGTACATATCATGACTAAGTGGTTATAATAGTTTTAACAGTACAGACAAATACATCAATAGCGGTAAAGCATAACCTTTGACCCTTGACTTACCACAGTAGTGCCACGTCCTGTTGTCCAGTTACTGTGACCTGGGGTATGTGGACTAGTGGCCGCTGAACTGTGCTGTGATGTTTGCGTGTCTGCTGGTGTCTGAACCACAAAGAAATCTGATTCATGTGCAGCAGGGGCAGGGCTAAAAGAGAAAGACTCGAATTATAAACAGGTAATTCATTTAAAAAAATATGTTAAATCATGCAGGTTGGATGTTCATTCTCTTTATTAAGTTATCTATTTGAATAAGAACATTCATAATTGATTCATAAAGTATATTCACTATCATGCATAACACTTCCAATTTTTTCTTGGCCTCAGTTTCTTATTTTAATAGTCTATGTACCAAAAAACATTTATGAGACCAGATCTACACATGCGTTTGAACATCAGGATCTCAAACATCAGTGTCTTGAATACTATGATATGTTGCAGTGATTTGGAAGTCCTAACCATTTTTTCATTACGTATTTTAACCAAATTCATGTATTTTCAATTCTTGAATATCTAAAAGGTTTTTTTTTCAGCTTCATCAAGTTCAAGATAACAAAGTTTGTCTGCATTTACATGTTATTAATGTTATGGAGGTATTTTGAGTAGATTGCACTACTAGATGTAGTATTTACTTTTTGATATACTCTATGTCCATCTCATTCTCATCCTCTAGCCAGGTAGGAGGGGTCAGTACTGGCCCAATGTCTAGTTCTATAATCTCCTTCTGGGTGGACAATGCCAGCAGATTAGCATTGGCCTAAAATACAGTTATAAAGAAGTCATCATAATCAACTTTAGTACAAAATTAATTTATTAATCAATTTATTTATAGAAATTTGTACAAAATTTATTTATTAATTAATTTATTTATTCTTTTTTTTTTTTTTGCATCCCATGTCCTTAAGGCTAACAAGAAAACAAAGGGAAATATATAGAATTTAATTTGAATTTTAATTTAGGTATTCTCCAATTGATTTGAGGATGTCAGAGAACTAAAATTTCCTAAATTATCCCAGCAAGAAAGAAAACCCTATCTTCTTTGTAGTGGAATATGAAAAAAAAGAGGAAAATTTTAAAAAAATCCCAAATCCAAAGTTTAAGACATATTTGTTAGATACATTTTAAACCGGTGAAGGAGGACTCCGTAAATTATCTGATTTAACCACACCCAGGCAATTCTCTTTTTATAAATCAATGCTGGCCACTGACATGAAAAATTCCTTTTAATTAATTCTGATTATTCATCATTTCCTACAACTCATATTGTTGCTGCATCTTAAACCTTTGTTGAACATTTTTAAAGTTTCAAGTTAATTGTTAATTTTTGTTTCTTGAGGCAGCATATTTTTTTTTATTTTCAAGCTTTCTTTCTCAATATAGCCAAAAAAATCCTGAAAGTATGTAAACTTCAAATGGTCACCTGATCCAAAGATTGACAAGGCTCTTTTGAGCTAAAAAAACCCCTCTCTCAATAAGAGTGACCCTGTGTTATATTAGTGGTATATAAACTTACATGTAGAACTGGATAAAATGTCTGCTGTAAAATTTACAGGAATTAGTATAATCACTAGAGGGTTAACCCAACACCATGTTTATACTCATACAAATGATTTTAGGCTACATGATAATATTTATGAAGACCAGTGCACTTTGTTTAAACTAAATGAAGATAAAGTTGTCAACAAAATATAAAAATATGGCTACTGCAACCAAAAAAAAAAAAAAAAATTTTAGTATTAATTGTTTCAGTTCAATACTGCTTGCATATTAGCAATAAGAATTTCATCATATCAAAATACATGTGTATCCTCTTCTAAGAATGAAAATATTAGCTTATTGAATCACTAAAAAAAAAACACAATAAAAAGTCTGAAAAATTCAATAAACTAGAGCCAATAAATGTGCATTGAACATTCACCATAAAATAAATTTTAAACAAAATCATCAGTCAGTTGCAAGTAACTGAAATGCAGGAAAACAGTATGGTGTACAATGCCTCAAAAATGCATCATATGATAATAATTATAATATACTCAAAGTAAAGTGTAAATTAATGAGACAGAAATAGATTTCAAATAAAACAATAACAGTGTATGTACAAACACAGCCTTAATATACTCAGAGAAAATTGATCAGAAAGTAAAAGGCTCAAAGTTAAAATTAACCTTAAAGTAGATTACATTGTAGATATATCAAAGTGAGTCTTAGATGGAGTAAGTCTGTGCTGATGATAATAAAAATATTACAAATTTTGTATTTACATTTAGGAATCTACTCATCTGTTCACAGTTAGAATATTCATTATTTATCTAAAAGCACAACAAGCAACAAAAGTCATTGATCTGCACTGAGAATAAATATATGTACATGAAACCAACATAAACTACAAATAATCAATGGCAAAATAGACAAAGTTAAAAACAAAATGGTGTTATCCTAGACCTGAAGGGTGCAAACAATTGTCTTGCAAATCATGGCTAATATGCAGTGTATACACAATTATGGTAATATAAAAGAACAAAATGCGTTGTGATTCCCTTTTCTGTGCAAAATCTCTTACAAATACCTAAGACATTAAGCAAATGATTTTGATTTTAAACAGTTGGATAAAATCTATCCCATCATCCCCTCCTATGGTTGTACATGTAATAGCACCCAAGACCCACAAGAATTAAAGCTCCAAACGAACTTCATAGTACATGTCTATGTAATTTTCTTCTACTTCTGGTATACATTAATAACACTCACCACAGATAGGACAGACTAAGAATATTATTTTGAATGACAATAAGAAAATGTGTATCATATTAAGGAAGGTGTATGAAAATGACACAAATTTAATTCAATAGAAATAATTCTATAATGAAATTTGTTTGAAATTGAAACATTCAGAACTAAATTTGGAATGATAAGTTAGACGAAAAATTATTTCTAAACTTAATTTGCAAAAAAAGAAGATAAAAAAAATAGGGGGAAATTTTTTAGAACTTCAAGAACAACAAAATTAATAAAAATCTAGATCAAATCACACAGCAATCTGCTAAGTTTCAACAAAGGAAATAAAATTGGTTTTCGCAAGAGATCACCTACCTGATTAAGAGCAAATGCTAAGATGATGTCCTGTTCTTTGTGAATGATCTTCATTGGCTCCTTGACCTTGAGATTATTCTCAAGGTCAGCTGGAGTGGTGGTCTCCTATCATTTGAAATCAAATTGAAATGTCAGGCAGGAATAGCAATTATATCATTATATGTACGTACCTTCATATTTTGCTAAAAAGGGTAAAAATGATTCAGTGCCAATGTACATGTATATAATCAATAACTGAATACATTAAACTAGACCAACTTCTTACCGTTTTCAGCAGAATATAGTAATTTATAATTAACATGGCACATTTTAACACTTTCTTAACTAGATAAACTCTCCCCACTCTCTCTTTTTTTCTCTCTCTCATAAAGAAACATAAACCTACTCCTGATTGGTTGATCTTCTTTCTAAATATATATCTTATGAACACTTCTTTTAGGGATTCCTGTTTGATGAGATGAAACCAGAGTCTTTTGATGGGTAATGTGGAATGGGAATCTCTGAAGAAAAAAAAATCATTTTGATATTAAAATATTCTCAAAATTGAAATCAATGTATAAAATACATACAAGTATTTCACACAGTATGACAATAATAATCATGCAGAACTTAAACGTCACATACTGTAGAATCAAAACAGCAAATTTTTCTTAAAAGCACATCCCTCGCTTTTTCTATATAAATTTTTGTACAATGATTGTGACCTTGTTATTATAACTTTCTGAGGATATGACACTTTTCTGACAATATAAATGAGCTACTTATCTATCAATAAGGCCAAAAAAAATTAATCAATAGTTTCTCAGGCACTGCCGCATCAGGTCAAAAACGGCCGCATTGATCAATTTTATTGACATTTTGAAAAGGGAAATAACTCAATTTTCTATTTTTCCAAGTTGAAAAAGAAAATTGAGTTATTTCCCTATTTATAACAATAATAAATAAACGTTTTTTTTTATTAGATAAACAATATTCTTCTAGTCTATACAGTCCTTTATTAATTAACTTTTAAAGAAATGTTTAGAATAAGATAATTTGAAGTTGAGTACATTATAATTAGTATATTAACAGAACAAAAAAGTGAGAATCATTTAATATTATCATTTTGTTGAAAGACTGACATGAAAAAAAGATACTTGCTTAAAAAAAAAACAAAAAAAAAACAAAAAAAAACCTGCCTGCCACATTGAATTTTGAAATTTTTGGCCTGAGAAACTATTAATTAATATTTTATGGCCTAATAGAAACTTACATGAAGGGTGAGTTAGAAGGATTTAAAAGAGCTTTGAACTTGGAATGTGGTTTCCCTGGAACAATGTCAACTTGAAGATTGGCAATGAAATCATCTGGAGGCCCAGCAAATAATTCTAGCTTCCCCTGTAAAACATCCATCCAGCGCTCCAGAGTTTTCAAAACAGCATGCATCAAAGGTGAACACACAGGCAACTCTGAAATAAAATTTCTTTCCAACTTTACTTAAAAGTAACACCATATGCATAACCAAATAATAACATTGATACTAAAGAAAAATATCTTTAACATATGTATTTCTCTAGGCTACTTGTATCATATTTTTTGTATTCAAGGATCAAAACAGAATGTAAAACTTATTTTTTCTTGAATAAAATCCTTTTTAATAAAAACAAGAGCACCGCTAAGCGGAGCATCCCCTCGCGCCAAGCACTTCACCGGTAATGGCAAAATTCTCAAGAGGGACGTTAATGAAGATACAATCAACTAGTTAAGTTTAAAATATTTAAAGGTAAAGAAAATAAAATATATTGCAGCACAATTTTAACAAAATCATCTTGGGATGGGGGGTGGGGGCATTTTCAAATTAAAGTGCATAACATCGTGGGGGAGGTGGGAATAACATGCATACGAAAGTGAGCAGTTTCCCTTATTCCTAGCAGAAACATATCACGTATGCTCTTAGTTTCAGTAATTTACCTACCTATGTAAATCTCAAAGTTGTATGCAATATGCATAAAATCTGAGAATACCCGCGGAAGCAATATTTTTTTGTAATAAAAAATGAAAATATACCGGTGTTTAGAGGTCACTGAAACTTGTGAAATGTCTTTATAGCTTTCGGGAATTACATGCGCCTCAAGAATAAATTCCATGTTGTAAACAGACACCTGTGGAAATTTGGTAATGAAACCGCGACGTTCATCAAATTATTTCAATTACTCAGCGTCAGAGATGACACTTTTAGTTTATACAGACTGTCTCAAGATACGCACAATAATATGACAATACGTAAATACAAAGTAGAACTTACTGAACTCTGAAGCGAGTCTGTCGAAGCGAACCGAATTTTCCAGGTTGATTAAGCGGAAGCGAGTATTGTCAAGTCGTACATAAAATTTCAGGGATTGAAGGTAGTAAAATCGCGATATTTTAAGAAATATTTTACCGATTAATTTGAAAATGAATAGGGTTCGTCCTTTTACAATGCCACATAAGTATGTGGAAGCTGAGAATTGATAGTCCAAAGGTTTTCTTTAAATCTTGCCCACAAGCTGTAACGGACACACTAACACACTAACACACACACATACGCACAGTAGCGATGCTATATCCCCTCCGCAACTAGTTGCGCGAGGGGATAATTAAATTCATTGCCTTACCAGGTAAATCTATTCCAACTAGTGGCAGGAATGTGTTAAAGTTATGAAGCACCAATTTAATGATGGAGTATCTGATGAGACTCCAGGAGTAAGATGTCGGATCAGTGTGCTGCTGAACACTTGATGTGGACCTGTAACATAAAAACTTACACATATGCATACACTAAACTTCACCTACTTTTTACTGTTTTCAGCAAAAATATACTATGTTATATTTAACATGGCACATTTTAACACTTTCTTGACTAGATAAACTCTGTCCCCCTCTCTCTCTCCCTCTCTATCTCTCTCTCTCCTAGCCTTACCAAGAATTCACTTTGGTGTCGTCTTCTGAATCATAATCAGATGCTTCCTCTGATGACAATGAATCCTCAGAATCATAATCAAATGTCCCCTCCACTGGGCTGGTAAAGGGCTGAAATGTACATTTTTAAACATTTTATATACATCCTAAATCATTAGTTATATTTATTTTTAATTAATATGTGCATTATTCTGTGCCTACCACCTACCAGAGATAATGCAGTAAATAAAATCATATATATTAAAGAGAAAAGTAACATTTCCTTTCATCCTACTTCTAGAATCTCTCATTTTTATTGCCACAAAGGTGAGAGAAACAGTTTATGTAGATCTATAGAAATATACCTGTGCAACAGACCTACATATACATCCACTGGCTTTGTGTGTAAACGGAGATTTCCACCATCACCTTATTCTATCAGGTTTGTTTTTCCTTGTTATTTTTAAACACCGAAGAAATGAGATATATATGTGGTCAAATCGGTAGACAGACACCTCGGCCCAACGACACCTCGGCCCGTCGCGCTTGACACCTCGGCCCTGACAGGTCGGCCCAAAATTATTGACACCTCGGCCCATACTAAAGACACCTCGGCCCAAGGAATTTTTTTTTTTTAGAATAATTATCTGTATTCACTATGGTAATATAAATGTATGTATGTTTATAATGACGATATGTATATGATAAACGGGCAAATAATTTCAGAATTTTTGAACGAACGACAGCATAGATGTCAGCTGCTGTATTTATTGAGTGGGAGATAGGAGATCTATTTATTTATTTATTTTGTTGCTTATGAAAATGCAACTTTATTCACTGATTTCATAATATTTAGAATTCTTTTACTTAAAAATCACTTTGTAGTAGGGGCGTATTGTACACTTAACTATATATAATAATTATATTTATAAACCAGTGCACAGTAGCATATGTCCTTAAGTATTCTGTCCTGATCAATAAGATGTCTTAATTGATTCTTTTTTTTTTTAATTTATAAACTCAACTTAACCTTACACAGATATAGAAGTTACGTTAACCTGATAGATCTTTGCGTAATATTAGAGCATAATGGATATATTTCCCTAAACCAACCAAGGAAGATATGTGGTTTGTACCCAACAATTGGATTAATTAGCCTGCTCGTAATTAACTCCTCATTGTCAACACCCCATATGACACGCGCTTGAGACTTCGAAGGATGCGCTGCGTCTTCTTGTTTGTTTAACGATTAGCACTATGTGATAGACAATTTTTTTTTTAATTACCGTCAATTTACTCTCGGAAGATTATTCAATTATTTTCTTTTTTATTTCATGGATATATATAATAATATAATCCGTCGCATATAGTCCCTATAATAATAAAATACTTAAGAAAATATCAAATAAATATGTTTAAAATAATACATTTTTGTTTGTGCAGAGGTGTCTTTTACGTGAGCCGAGGTGTCTCAAATCTTGGGCCGACCCGTCGGGGCCGAGGTGTCAATGGGCCGAGATGTCGTTGGGCCAAGGTGTCGTTGGGCCGAAGTGTCTGACATTCGTCAAATCCAATTGACCAGTCTTAACAATTTCTGCAGTGACATTTGAACCCTCAACCAATTGCAAGAAATCAAATATTTATGCCTCATATTCGGTGAACACAGGTACTTGACGTTTTAAACCTTTCTCTTTAATGATAAAAATATCCCCATACTATAATAATAACAATGTTATTATTATAGTATGGGGATATTTTTATCATTAAAGAGAAAGGTTTAAAACGTCAAGTACCTGTGTCTGTGAAAAAGTTATTTTTCATATGATCTTACTTTAAATGCTGACATACCTTTGTCATGAAGAATGTGACCATGCTGAGTTCTGGGGGTACAAACGTCTCCTTGACAGGTTTCTCTTTCATTGAGATCCCACTTTTACTTCCTCCTTTACCCCCTCCTTCCATCACTTTCTTCACCAGCCTCAGCCTCTGTTTGTCCACCTCATCTGTACCCTCTGAGAAAGAAAAAATTTACTGAAACATATATCATGGAACATGTACACTAACATTACTTACACTTTTACACCAAGTTACTGCAATTTAACATTACTATAGCATGTTAAAACTTCTATTTTAGTGAATTTTATTGCTTTCACAATTTGTTTCTCATTTAACACAATTCTAAATGCACAAAAAGCATTAAAATTCTCATAAAATTCACTAATAACCAATTATAGTTCCTTAACTTGTGTAAACAGTGCACATGCTTATTGTGCTTACAATGTACAGTGGGTTCCGTTTTATCTAATAGTCGTCAGCCTAATTTTATTAGAAAAGCCAATTATTAGAATAGCCGACTGCTCCATACCAAGTCCAAACATAGATGTATAGAGCTACATGGCATTGTATTGATAATACATAGTAACAAATTTACTTTTAGTGACTTTCCTAAAACAAATTGTTTTACTTACTTATGAATTAAATATGATGATATTTTTCAAATAAATAGACATATAAAAATTATTCTTTGATAGTTATTGCCATCTTTATTCAGCACATGTTTACATTCCTTCTTCGATGGTCTCCATTTTGGAAACGGAAGTAGACTGAATGCTTGACTATAATCCGTAAACTATTTCTCCCTGGAAAGATGGTACCATATATACTCACCTATAAGTCGGATTTTTGGGAGTTAAACTTTGGTCCAAAACTCTATGTCCGACTTATAGGCGAGTTATAATATGAATGGTATTTTAGAAGGTCAATCCCTCTAATATAAGCTTCATAAATACAACCGACTTATAGGCGGACCGACTTAAAGGCGAGTATATACGGTAAGTGGAAAATAAACAAAAATTTTAAATTGTTTCATTTTTATTTTTTTGTTTAATATGGTTACATATTTCATACTGTTTGTGACAATTCTCTGGTCAATGAGTTTACCAGTCTCGTACTTGTTTGCTAAAGAAAGATTTTAAGAGCCATGTGTAGAAAGATGGTATGAATTTTGAGATGTATATTCATACGGGTCGTTTGTGATTTTAACCATAAAATTTGCACTTAAAAGTAAACAAATATTAGGCCAAATGATCATGTTAAACGATTGAATAGGCTCATTATGATGCATTTCAATGTCCATGCAAACTGTCATACACAAGCTAATCAGTTCAATAATTAAACTTTCACATCGGAAAAATTGTAAACAATTGTCACAATTAACAAGGATTTTTTTCGCGTAAAAGCTGTGCCGAATCGCGGAAAAATGAAACTGCGATCGATCTACCGTGCCCACTATTAACACAGTTAAGGTGCCTAAGTGCATCCAGCTGTAACTAACCCCTCATTGTTGTACTGAAGGTGAGAGGTGTCAGACATATACAAAGGCTTCATATAAGAAGTGAGAGGTGTGAACAAGGTGATGATTATCAAAAAACACTATGATAGTCCAAATTTTTGTATCAGATAAAACGAAATTCCAATATTTTCTCATCAGAATATCAGAAAAATTATCAATAAATAAAGAAATGTGCTCTGATATTATACTGAAATAACCAAAATATTAGCTAAACCCCTATCCAATTAAATGGAATCCACTGTATTCTACATGTACGTTGTCTGCATCTGAGTTGCAGAATATGAAAAATTCTTCATTTTATAATCATGATAGAATTTCACTGCTTGAAATGTCCTTACTTAAAGGTACAGGAGAATCAGACACCCTGAGGACCGTTCTTGCCCCTCCCCCAAACAAAGCACACCACATCTGTGTGACAAATCGATGGGCGATGAGCCGATATAACATGCTGCAGTCGTGTGTTGCCAGGGCAGTCACCAGTAGACTCACATACACTGCTACTAACGTCTCACACAGAAGAATGTGAAGTTTCTGGGCATCCTCATCCTTCTCTCTGGCCAACATTGCACGTAATCCTTGAACACCTTCAAAACCAATAACACAATATGATTTTCGCTTTCTGATTTAGCAATCACAGATACACGATATTTAATAATAGCTTTCTTTAATCAATTTATGAGAGAATATCCACATTTTCATGCTTTCAAATTACTTTTCTTAAGATTAGCATTGCTCTGTAAGTTTGAGGGGTTTTGTTTAATACAAGTACATTTTCAAAATTAAAAAGAATTCTGTTTCTCCTTCTGTCTAACTATTATGCAAAGGAACATACCTGGCCATGAAGCTGGAGATGTGTTGATTTCATCCCCAGCACTTGATTTCCGTCGATACCTCTGAACGCCTGCCATTAAGTGACCTGCTTGAGCACTGGTAAAATTATGACTGCAACCAAAACAAAGAAATCCCATCAGAAAATTACAAAAAATCGTAAATCGTGAATATTATGGTTTTAGAAAAATTTTTAGTATTAAAAATATATATATGCAGTAAATACATTGTTGTAAAATTCTGTCTCCAGATCTCACCTAGTAAACCCCTCCAGAGTGGCATCACTTGTCTCATTAAGGGAGACCACAAAACTATCACAGTCACACAGACACTGGTACACACAGGCTGACAAGGCCAGGCTAAGGTTACGCATTGTCAGTATGGTGTTTATAGCACTGCTGATTCCCGGAGGTGCCGTCATCTCTATCACAGAGTGGAGAAGATCCTGTGTCATACATTGTATGTGTTTGATGGGGTCCGCCACCACTGTCTTAGAGCTGGCAATGCTGGCAGAGAGGAGGGGAAGAGTGGTGGGGAATGGCAAAGGGGAAAACAACTGCTGCTGAGGCCTCTCTTGTTGGTGTTCCTGTTAAGCAAATATTTTGTTCAATTCACCAAAACCCACCTAAGTTCAATATAACAACCTTTCAAAATTATGCTTTTAAAATTCTTGAAGGCAGAAAGTGAATACAATGTAGATTAGGATGTTCTTCATTTAGAACAAATGTATTTAAGAAAGTTGACTGTAGTTAAACAAATTTAAATCTCTTCTTCATGTGTAATGAAAATCATTTTTATAAAAAAAAAAAAATATTGTAATTATTACAAATTACAAAAAAAATTGACAAAAAAAATAATCTTGCCTGCAATAGCAGCAACAATTCCATCTGGACTGAGGCCAGCCCACCTCCTCCTGACCCCTGTAACATACAGTAACTGGCCAGTGTCCGGAGCAACTGGTGGTGCATCTTAAGCCACTGCTTCCTCCTGGACATACGCTCCAGTTTGGCTTCAAAGTCCATCTTTTCAGCCAAAATGACTTCATGGAGTGTTGGTTTAATGGAAATTGATGAGGAGTCTGAACGCAAGGATAGTGACCTGTTCAGCTTTCTTTGTGGTGCATCCAGTAAGAATGAACTGCCCTCTTCTACTGATGCATCTAGTATACTTGCATTGCTCTCTGTTAAAAAAAGTATACATTATACATAAGAATTGTCTTTAATGCCATCCCATGAAATCAACAATTACAATTTACAACAAGAGCCTCTATGCTGTAGAAGCTAATTTTGTTTTGCTTTTTTTGCATAATGCTGTATGACTTTGTGCATGGTCTTTCAAATTATTAGAATCTTTTGCATGTTAAGCAGAAGCTGGAAGATTTCAGAACTTACCCATCCACTAGCACGATCATATAAATATATCACATATCATTTACCGTTTGTGACTTCATTTTAATTTTGTGACCTTTTTTTTAATCCAGCATATGGTTTCTTGCAAACTCAATTTTTCACCTTCAACAACTGTTAATATTTCCTGAAGTAACACACTTGTCAAACTCATATTTAAAGAGCACTTTACAACACAGCTAAATAAAGCGCTAGAACTACATACTTTAAAACATTGCCAAAAAAAAAGAATCACTTTGGCATAGAAAACTAAAAGAAACTTTGCTTTTTAGCCACAGTTTGATTTTCACTGACAAAAGACCTCAGGTATATACCATAACAGCTACATGTAGTATAAAAAGTAAGGTATTAAAGAAAACAGTAGTGAGATTCATGAATTGTCAATATAATGTACTAGCAGTCTAGATACATCTCACAAACTGTTCATTAATTTTCTCAAGATTATTAACCATTAGTAAGATTTTTAGAAGTATTCATCAAATGTATAATATCTATAGAAATATAAACCATACATGTAATTCTAGTTGTTTTAGATGGGTTGGTATAATTTTTCAGGATGAAAATACCATAGGAAAGAGTTTTCCTTGACACCAATGCAGAAATAAAATACTAGTATATTGAAAAGGATTTTTAAATCAGGAATCTGTAGACTCTGGTAGACTTTAAATAAAATGCAAGGCATGCAAAAATAAAAGCCTGTTGACATTGTCTGCTGCTAGAGAAGCCAAGCTTTTAAATGAGACTTCATACCACTCAGTTCAAGATATGACGCTGGATCGACACAGTCTAACATGGAACAACAATAAAATATTAGATATTGTTTCCTGGCTTTTGCATCCTTAAACAACATTTAAAGCAAATAATATAATTTAGTCTTCTTCATTTCTTAAATAACCTTTAACTAATTATAAATGATGTACACAGAATTTTTTATTACTGCAGGTTTTTGAACATTTCTTTATACATTACAATGCCTATCCTTGTTCAAATCATACTTGGTGTGTTATGGTTGTACTCAGTGACAATTACAAGTAAGAATTTCTTTTCAACATGTTAATGAAAGTTTTTATAAAAAGTTTTGGGTAAAGTTATCAATTACATCTCAATAAAATCATGAAAATTAATACATGATGACCTATATGACCAATGAATTATACTGGAATATTTTTTTAGGAACACTACTTCGGTATGCTTAAGATTTTTAGGGAAGTTTCCCATTATTTTGTTCTTGTTTTATTTTATAACATGCAATGAGAAGACAACACAGTATATAAGAAATTGTATAAAACTTCAACCTTACAAAATAAATTAAATTATGTAAGATAAATGGATTACTTTACCTTCAAACAATACATGTGCTGGTTCTTGTTGATTGTCTGCTGGGAATACAACACCTTCTCCATAATTACACAGATACTGTAGTACTTCAACCTCCCTCTCCAACCAGATGTAAAGCTGAAACCTAAGGTATACCAAAACAAAATTTAAATAACATTTGTACTACAGAAATATCACAATACATGTAATACATAAAAGGAAAGAATCATCCTAGATAAGATAAGATAATATTCATTTGAAGTCGGGTAAATCAACAAGAAACATTAGCTCTGAAGAGCTATTTTCCGACTACAGAGCTATTTTCAGACAACATTAACCAATAGTAAGATTACATACATCCTATACAAGATTACTCTTTACCTCAATTGTCCACCATCCACTTCAAAACCTGTTGCAAGTGTCCTCATCTCTTCCATTAAAACCTTCAGGCATGCTATGAATTTGTACTGCTGTGCAAATATGTCTATCTGATTCTTGTGACTAGATTTAGTGTCTGCACAAACTTCATCATGTCCATTTGTCAAAACATCATCCACAACAATATTTGGAACTTTCTGCAGTTTGCCCCTCTGAGAGGGCTTCTTCTCCACCTCTTCTGGATGGTGTTCTGTTTCACTTTCCACCTCACTCTCCCCAGAACTGAGGGTGAATCTGGGTTCCTCCTCAAAGTCAAATCTGGACACTGGAGCTCCCCAGTCAAAAGAATCTCCCCTATCTTGCTTACCACCGACAGGTGTTGACCAATCAAAAGCATCGGCTGTTTCCCCATTCACCATTCCATTTATTGCAGGACTACTCCAATCATACCCTGGATTTGAGTCCTTATTCTTGATATGGTCTTCTCCCACTAAGGTCCCTGTACTAATAGGCTGTGATAATGGTTTAACAGTCTCACTCTCCACTTCTTCATCACTTTCAATATCCTCCTCCGTTATTATATTTGGAAGCTTGGACAACACTTCCAGTGCAAGAAGAGGACAGCCATTTTTATAATGAGTGTGAGCAGTCCTAAAAAACAGCCGCCTTTCAATGGGGGTGACTTTGTCAATGAACATCAGCGAGTCCTGTTCCTCAATGATTGTTTGTTGGTGGGTGAAGCCTGGAATGACCCCTTTCCTCTGTGCTAATGGAGCAGCAGATGTAATCTTGTGCCTCAAAATAAGAGGATGATTTCTCAGGTAATTATAAAAATTGAAAACATTTGGTATTGCACTTTGCCCTCCCAGTTCTTGATCGTCTGGATCACTGGGCTTTAAATGGGTCTTTGCAGAACTTGACAGAAGTAAAGTTTTCAATGATTTTCGGTATTCTTTGAAATTCCACCATGCCATGCTTCTTAGGAATGGATCAGAGGTCAATTTCTCTGTTAAAGCTGTTCTAGATTCCTGATCTTCACACCCAAGAACATGTTTGCGTAAGACTTGTTTGGCACTATCAGGCATCATGGTCTCTCCATCATATAGACGACACACAACTAAAGCCAACTGAATGTCCTCTAAGTTGTTCAAACAAACCTGCAAAAAACAACAATGCAATTTGTCAGATTTTTCAATTCAATGAAGCAAAACAGTAAAATTACTGAAATATATTTCCTTCTTTTAAATTTAAATCTCAAGGACTATTCCATGTATACATCATAAATCATTATCTATACAGGTATGTTCAGGACTATCAGAATGAATCCTTTGTCAAAAAAGAAGTATTGATTCTATGTAATGTGACTCTGTTTCATTGGGAGTAGTAAATAAGCAGCATACATACATACAAAAATTAGGGCACTCAAACTTTAGCGCAATCTTCCTCATCAACAGATTAGCATAATAATAAATAAATGCATTAGTAGCCAAGCTTCTTTATGTATTTGCTTTTAATCATATTTTAGCATGTACTTGAATTAGGGGGCAAGAAGCAGCAAAAGGCAATAATATACGATTACCACTAAATCAAGTACATTTACTGTATGCTACATGAACATGTACTTAAATGTATATCAAATATATGTATACCTCAATAGCATCATGTAGAGATCCTGCCAATAGGAAGAAAGCTGCTGCATGCTCAAATCTCTGTTTGCCGAGCAGATCAAAGGCATTCTTCAGTGCTGCTTTCCTCCACCTCTCTAATGAGAAATCATTCTTGAAGAATTCCATCAATCGTTTGTTATCAACAGATCTGGAAAGATGAACATAGGCAGAAAGGTAATGAACAGAATGCAAGTCTCCACTATCCTTGACAAAGTTTGCAGAGTGTAGTATTCTGAACTTAATTTTTAATGACTTAATACACTTGTGCTTTAAAAGCAGTTTTACTAGAGCCTATACCTATACAATCCCCATAGGACATTTTTCCTTTTCATTGCCAGGTAAAACAATGCAGCATCCATGGGGTCCTTCTTCTTCTGGAAGGCTGCCTTAGCCAACTGAAATTACATGGTTATACAGGTTCTAAAAAATTCAATTAGAAGTTGAATCCTTTCACAGCAACTTAATATGTTACATCTATTGACACACATTTACATAGCATTTGTACCTGTATGTCAAAATGGAAATTTTACCAAATCACACACTTCTTTTATTTTACCAAATCACACTCTTCCTTTCTGTTATGTAGGTATTTAGTAGTAATACATAGAGGTGCTGTGGTATAAATCCAGCCACTATTAATCTAGCTGCTCCAAAGCTATGTTACCAAAGTTGAACTTGTATATGTAATTCTGACTCAACACATTAAATATTCATAAACAAAGGATATATTTCATAAATGAGTAATTCAAGACTTCAAACATTTACAAATGTATTACTGAAAGAAAATTAAATTTCAGACAAATTCAAATGTGGTTGAATTTTAAGAATACACAAGCCAAAATTAGAAACAGAGGAGCTGATTGAAGCTCTTGAAAATGTCCCTTAGGCATCCCAGATTTTGCTTTGAACTTTATTTCCCATTTTTACACATCTATCTAGTTTACCTGCATACTTAATTTACATGTATAACATTTTAAACCCGTGTATAATTATTAAAAGTCTTATTTATAAAAATCAAAAAATTATGTTTGCTCTTTTTTAGTCAGAATTTCATAACTCGTGTGTACTGGCACTGAACAAAAAAGTTTTAGAGAATTGAAAGAGTTATCCAGCTACTTCACTTATTTGGATAATTTTAAATATCTTAATAAGGTACAACAACATTAAATACATCAATAAACAATGATGATACTCTGGTATTAAATGAATGGTCACCTTTTCAATGGTTCTCTTGAGGATGTTAATGTTGTTGATCCACCACCCTGCCCCAAACTGTCTGAGTTCCTCCCAGGTAGGTTCTCCCTTCTGCATGCTGGGGATGTGTGACAGCAACTCCTGCATAATCAAAGCAATATTTGAAATTCTGCCTTGAATTACTTTCTTAAACACTTATTTTTTTGTAATTTTAGTTTCTTTCAATTTTACCTTTGTTCAATGAATTATGTCTATATGAATAATAATTCTAAAAAATTGACAAAGAAGTCCTGCAAATGTGGAATTGATGCACAGGGGGTAATATAAACTAAAAATGTGGATATAATTATATACATTGTATATCATATTCAGCATCAACAACATATAATGCGGGTGTCATGGAAATAACCCTTATGAGCACTTGTTACTGATGCATGCAATTAACAACACATTAAATGAATACAATGGGGCAAAAAATCAAACTCCTGTTACTTCTTAGGTCCTGAATGATTGTTTTATATTTCCAGTGCAGCTGTTACATACCTCTGTTGACTCTGAATGGAAGGCCCAGACAAGGTTGAAGGATTTCAGTCCCACTCTCTGTAGAGCTGCTCTTTGTCTTGGTTGTAATGTCCTCACAAGGTAGATATGATTTTTCATTGCCAGTAAAAACCGCAGACCACAGTTGTCTATTGTTTCCGCTGATTCCTTGTTCAGATCTCCACCAGCTGAAAAATAAACAGATATCTGTAAAAACTCTATTTCAGATACAACGTATCTATAAAAACTCAATTTCAGATATATATAAAAACTCAATTTATAAATGTCTTCAAAATAACATCCCAATACACATTTCTCAGTGAAAATTTGAAAAGATTAAAATTAATCATACCAAATCTATCAAAGTCTATATATACATATGTAACAATTTCTCGCAATCCAAAAAATCATTTTGAATTGAATTCCATATCAAATAAATTTTTCTGTGAATATAGAGACTAAATATACCTGGTTTTTCCACCTCAAACTTGTCAGTGAAGTCAATCTTGTTATTCGCCACGGTGTCAGCAATAGCCAGGAGATACATCTGATCCACACTAGTCAGACCAGGCAGCTGTGTGTGAGTCAGGTGCTTCATCAGAACCTGACTGTGGTTGGGGGTGAACTCATTTGGATTAGATGGATTAACTCCAGATGCGGACTGGAGTCGACCTCGACCTGACATGTTGCTGTCCGCTGAGGTACCCAGTACATCTGTATCAAGTTCTTCTTCCACTCCAACATTGGTGGAGAACAGGTCACTATAGTCTTGGTTTGCTGTGGCAGTTCCAGGGGCTGTGCTAGTAATGTGGTCGTTTTTGGTCACTGTAACTTGTTCATCAGCAGCTAATAGGGCATACATGGGAAGAGGTGGTATGAAAGAGATTTCTTTGTACTCTAAATGAGGTTCCTCTTGCAGAAGTGGGACCTCCAATGGACTTTTTGGACTTGCCCCACTCACTGATAGAGCCCTACTTCTACCATATCCCCACTTCAAGTCTTCCGTGTCCATTTCCTCTGATATATTCATTGGAGGGATTTCACCATTACATATGCATCTTACTAAATGAGCTAAGATTGCTTTTACTCTCCTGACTTTACCAAAGTTCAATAGCTCTATCATTTCTTTTGGATGATACTGGGGAAGACATGGATTTGCCTCTCTAGTAGCTTCAAAGAGCCCAAAGTCATGGATGGCTGACAAGCTAGTTAAACTCTCACTTTTAATTTTGCTCAAGGAAGATTTCACACTAATATCTGAGCTTTTCTTGGACACAGAATTTATATGTTTGAAGTTTGGTAGAGAATAAGAAGGTTTAAAAGTAGCAGTAGATTTTATGTTGGCAAGGACCTCTATGTTAAAACAGGAGGAATCTGGATCCTGGAGACACTTGGAGTCTTCTACACTACCATGATCTACCTGGGACTGTGAACATCGCCACTGAGAATACACATGCATCTCATTATCCATCCCCACAACTAGAATTCCAGCTCTTACCCACGAAATATGCATAGGTAAGGGAGGTAATCCATCAGCAGTGCTCAATTCAACTGATCGCAGCAGCATCCACCGTATCTCCTCAGGGTTATCGTCCATTATCATGACAGATTTTGCCTTTTGAAGCCTTCCTCTTTTCTTTGGTGCTTCAGCCTTCTCCTTTCCTAGATGCAAATTCAGGGCTTCTCTACTTGGATTCTGGTTTTTCCTTGGCTTCCTCTTTGATTGTTCTTCAGAGCCTTCCTTTCCTTGTTTGGATGCACTGATCACATCATCAGACACTTGGACATACATCAGAATTTTTTGTCCTACTCCAATAGTCAAAATGTGTGATCCATCTTCTGTTGACACCCAGTCTAACTGAACAAGATGTTTCTGATGCAGAATTCCTGCTGTATTACCATGCTCTGCAATGCTTTTTCTTACACTACATATTGTACTCAAACTTGGTATAGATACTGATTTTGAAATATTAACCAAGGATGCTGAGGGTGACATCCCTTTTGGGGTTTCTCCCTCTTCTATGACTCTTGGAGATTTTATTCCAGATGGACATAGAATGCAGTCCATATCTATTTCTGCTTTAGGATCAGGAATTGTGACATTTTTAAGTTCAATGGTATCTTCTAAAATCCACTCTGAGCCTCCTATAAAAACAGAGAAATCAAAAAAGACTGTATGTAGTATTTTACTTAATATTAGGAATAAATTTTTACAAAAAAAATTTCAAAATAATGAAGAAATAATTAAAATTTAAATAAAATATCTATTAAACTTAATTTTGTCACCTGTAGATTCACATTCATAAATGGCCACCCAGAGGTTAAGAAGTTTTCCCTTTGGATTGTTAGGAAGTTGTTTTGGTCCAAACAATCTGTAAGCCACTGCTAGGCGTCCACTGTAGGCACAACTCACAGTGATTGGATGACCTAGATATTTAAAGATTAATGTTAGAATATTTGTTGTCTAAAACTTTCAACAGAACTTCACAAATTCAAATTCATCAAAATAAACTTTCACATAACTAAAAGGCAATGATTCTGAACAATTTCTTAATCTTCCAAAATCCATTTAAATCTTCATAAGTACATTTACTGATTTTCAAATGGCAATAAATCTATCATTTTATATCAAACTCTACCAGTATTTAATTTTGTCTTTTGTTATTGTAATTATGTAATTTTACTTATTCATATACATGTACATCAAACTGTTGCCAATTGAAATTTAATCATTAAAAATAAGCATCCATATTTTTTTTTAAATTCCGAAGTACATGGAAATAATTTATTAATTATACTTTATACATGTATTCACATTAATCAAATATACAATTTTGATATCAGAGTTAATGCAAAGTTCAGAGCATTATGATACTGACATTTAAACCAGTGTCAGAGTAAATTCAATGACAGGATACCTGTAATACTTATAGAACTCGTGTCCTTGGAGCTGTTCATCATGCTCCATTCCTGCCATTGATAGCTTGTCTCCATGGCCTCTGATTTCGTGAACACACTTGTTGAAGGTTTACGCATTCCATGGTCTTCCTCCACAGCCATTTCAAAACTTATTGTGCTGTACGACAATGTGGGTTGGGGGGATTTCCCTCCTACTTCATACACTGACGACATGCTGCAGTTCCAGAAACGAACCTCACCATCTGAACAGGCAGTGACCAACAGGTATGGAGCAAGGCATGCTGGGTAGATGGAGGCGGAGCTTAAGTGACCTGCTGATACATTGGCACTCTGGACATCTACTCCTTCTGGCAGGGGTAAGGTTTGTGTGCACAACTACATATTGAATAAAAAAGCATTGTAGTCAACCATCAAAAGCCAACTAATTTAAACTTATCTTTAGGAACCAAATTTTCGTAAGTTTATGATATCAGGTCAAATGTATTATTTCTTTGATAAATTTTATTCCAAATTTGAACTTTGTTTTTGACCTTGATCTAACACAAAGCATGAACATTAAACTGACCAGACATGGAGTCCTTTCCTAAAATTCAGTAGCACTTGCAGCAGTTAATGATGTGGATAGATAGACTAACAAACACATGTATCCCAAACAAAATGATTCCCAATGTTTAAAAAACTATTCACAAACTCAAAAGCCACATCTCAATACTTTAAAAGTTTTTATGTACAAAATTCTAATTTTTAGCTTTCAAAGTACACAAGATCAGCCTTAAAGTGACCAAAAAACACTGCCTACCTTTGTGGTGGAGAAGATCACCTTGACAACAGTAGTGGGTTTGGGTGTCAAATGTTCAGGTGTAGAATTTCCTGAGGGAACATAAGAAGTTTCCTCTTCAGTGTTCACATCCATCGAACCCTTCCTAGCTCCATCATGTGACTCTGTAAATATAAAAACTATCTAATTACACTAATTAACCTCTGGATAAAATGTTATATTGTCCAATATAGCTGGAATTAATGTAAAATTAATTCTCTGAAAGAGTTGCTTTCCTACCTTCACATGGCTCCCCTGATTTGGAGGAAATGGTAATCTTCCACATGTGAAGCACTGATCCAAAATTCTTGGTCTTTTCAAGCACTACCAGATAGAAATGTTCACAGAAAGACCCTGAGGATCTTAGATCTACAATGACTTCCATGCTGCTAGAAGATGTACTGGGACGACCAGTTATCATCTGCTCCTGAAAGACGTGGAGAAGCTGTGTCTGCTGCCAGCTCTACAAAACATAATACAAAATGTTACTTTGTGTAGTAAGGGAAAAAAATCAGACAGGTTACCTTTGTTGAATTATAATCAAATGTGGTGCATGTACTTTGATTCCTAATCTTAGCTTGTATTGTCCAACTATGAATTTATTCCATGAATGCAGCTAATGGATTCCTTTTCTTATACACTTGATAAAACAATCTCTTTTTAATTAAAGAATTATTCTACCACTACTCACCTGAGTGCATCAGCAATAGGTTCTGTGATAAAGACTAGTCTGGCTGATGATTCACTACACTCACCTGAACAGCATCACCTATATGTTCCAGCTCTATGATACAGCCTGGAATGAGATGATTCATTACTCTCACCTGAGCAACATCAGCTATAGGTTCCAGCTCTATGATACAGCCTGGTCTGGCTGATGATTCATTACTCTCACCTGAGCAGCATCACCTATAAGTTCCAGCTCTATGATACTGCCTGGTCTGACTGATGATTTTCTAGACTCACCTGAGCAACATCAGCTATAGGTTCAGCTCTATGATACTGCCTGGTCTGGCTGATGATTCATTACACTCACCTGAACAGCATCACCTATAGGTTTCAGCTCTGTGATACAGCCTGGAATTTGTTGATAATTTACTAGGATTAACCCAAACAGCTGTTCCAGCTCTATGATACAGCCTGGTCTGACTGATGATTTTCTAGACTCACCTGGGCAGCATCAGCTGTAGGTTCCAGCTCTATGATACAGCCTGGTCTGACTGATGATTCATTACTCTCACCTGAGCAGCATCAGCTGTAGGTTCCAGCTCTAAGTTACAGCCTGGTCTGACTGATGATTTTCTAGACTCACCTGAGCAGCATCAGCTATAGGTTCCAGCTCTATGATACAGCCTGGTCTTGCTGATGACTGCAGACTGACAATGTTAAATAACTCCCCTGGAGGTTTCTGGGGCTCAACGCTGTATCCTGAACTTGTGTTACTGCTGAAACTCATCCCTGGCTGTTATGTGGAAGACAAAACAGAATAATGATCCAACTACATGTATATACATGTATATATTGTTGAAACAATACAACTTTTTAGACCTTGTTTATTAATGAGAAAAATCTTTATACACAGTCACTCGTGTCAGACAAAATTTCAAAAGCACAAGTTTTCATCATTGGATTTGCAATCATCTCAGAAAATCATAATCACAAAAGCTGAAAAAGGAAGCAAGAGGTCCAAAGGCATTGATGAATACATGAGTTTTCATAAGTTTTCTTGGCAGGTGTAAAATTTGGCGTTTTACTTGCTCAAAGGTGTGCCAGTAATTTTGATGTAATTTATTTTAGCGGACACATGGTTCCAACACATTGCAAAAGAATACTTAGAAGAATAATGAATATTTTAGCGATTAAAATTTTAGCGGGCTTCTACCAAAATGCTTAAATAAGCCAAAATTAGCAACCTGCTAAAATTACCTGCTATACGGTATTACAGACTTAACCCTGACATGCAATGGAATTCTAGATCCATGTGACATGAATTTTACAATTTTGGTACAGAATATATTTTTATAAACACATTTCATAAAATCTATTAGATGCTGAAGAGGGAAGACTTTAAAGTGGTACCATGAATGAGCTCAGAAAATGATACTTCATGGCAAAACTTAATAAATTGTTGGTAGGATTTTTTTTTTAGAAATGCAATACAGGATAATTAGAATACATGTAGCAAAACAGGTACTGAAAGCACATAATAAATACTAAAGGGTAGCAAACTAATACTCATTATCAAAATAACCATGTACAGTGTATTTATTTTCTATTTTTCCTGCCACTGACTTTGACTATGCCAAAATGAAATTGAATCAAGTTCACGGCAAACTAAAGGATCATAAACAATCTTTGTGAAAAGTATGTTTCTCTTTAAAAAAAAAAAAAGATCCAAATGAAATGCAAATGTTACATTTTTTACTACCAGTGACCTTGAACTTGCCCAACATTGTGCCAAGATCATACCATATCCCCAGATCATAAGCAATCATTTTGTCATGAGAAATTTCCAACATTTTTCCATTACATTTAGCAAGTTTGGTGTAAAATTGGCATAGTTGCTTCTGAAGAAGTTGAAAATGTACATGTTAAAAGGTTTACAGACAACACACAGCAGATAGACAAACTGACAGAGAGACACACAGATGCCAAACACTTTGTTCAGAATATCTCACTTGAACCAAAGGCTCAGGTGAGCTAAAAATCAAAAACACAACATTACAGTTTGTATAATAAAAAACATGATAGATAGTTGCTTACATCCTTCCTCTGTGCCCCAACTTCCAGTAAGAGGGTCCTGGCATCAATGACAGCCTGGTACATCCTCAGGCAGTTTCCATCGGAGGCCACAAACAGTGCACTGGGGGAATTACTGTATGAACCCAGTGTGGAGCTACAATAAAGTGTTAAATATACATGTATTTTGTAAAATGAAATTTTTTATATCAAAATCATTATTTTATACTAAGTTACATAAAATCATTTCCCATAACAAACATAATTCATTAGAGTATACAAAATAATGATCCAAGAAGTGTTGTTGTTAATCTAGATATATTTCTCTAACAAAGTTGCAGTATACATTTTAACTTTGATTAGAATTTAAAGCTCTCTATAATCAATAAACACTAAATTTTATCATCCTCCAAAAATCCATAATGAAACTTGCAGTAACAAGAATATATGTACAAGTACAACATACCCATATCTTACCTTGGCAGTAAAGTAGGTACCCAGGCTACATCAGAGAATGCTGCAAGCTCTGGGGAATTAATCCTAGCCAACTCCACAATTCCTCCAGACTTGGACAATGGCCCTACTGGATCTACCCTCCACAGAATTAACTCACTACAAAACTCCACCCCACCAACTCCATGCTTTAGATCATCATCACTTTCCTTGGAGCTGGATCTCTCCATTCTTTCTCCATTGTAACCATTCACAGGATCGTTTGGTACATTGTGATGAGAGGTGGATAGCAACAGAGGCAACACTGGATGACACGTAGCTGAGTTAGTTCTGAATCGATGTCCACATGCCCTGGTAGCATGTGCCACACTCACCACAGTGGAAAACTTGGAGTGGTCAGCAAAACTGATCTGCCACTGATTTAATGACCCGTTTATGTGCTTGGAGATCAGAAGAACATTAGGTATTAACATGTTATCATTTTGTCCAGGTGAATTCTTTCCTGTTGCTGGAGCTGGTGGGTTTTGAATTTTAGGATTCTCTACACTACTATTGCTCTCACTTAACCTCATAGCTGATTTAATGTCCATTTTACTGTAATTACAGTACATCCATAGATGACTAGCCATTGTCCTGGCATCAGGAACAGGGAAAGCATGCGGCAGTCGAGATGAGAAACTGACCTGTGCCTGGCGAAAGCAGTAAGGATTATACTCGTCTAGCCAATCGACCAACCTATAAAAACATTACCAAGTTATAACATAAAGTGTCTCTACTTATAATGACAGCACCTACATGTATACTCCTCTCACATAGGGCCTCTTATTTTATGAAACTCATTAGAGTAATTTTTATTTTCACAAATGTTTCTTAAACTCTGGTCATTAAGGCTACTAAGTCTTTTTTTTGCCCAGAAAACAATTCGAGCAAACTAAAAATAAGAAAATTACAAAATGTATACATATAAATATCCAATTAGTGTTTTCTTCAAGAAGAAATGCATAGCAAAGCTATGGGATGACCAAACCTTTATTGTTCTATTGTCTTTTTGGCCTAGTCCAGATAAACTTGCTCAAGGCTAAGTACACATCTTCAAGATTCCAAACTTCTACAATTAGTTCAGATCAATCCAACACAAAGTCGGACAGTGTGATTGATATTTTTTTTTTAAAAGGAGAAGGTTTTCTAATGATAAAGAAAGCCCATGCTCATCCAGAAATTTTCTGAGAACCTTACACGAATAAAGCTAATTAACAGCCTTACCAAACCAAAAAACTGCCATCCACTGGGTGTATACTAAACATCATGTCTGGATGCTGGTGCCAGTCCCTCAGTAGTACCTCTATTTTTCTGTCTAATGCATCAATCACTGAACCCTGTCAATATTTTATCAATATTCCAATTTTAGTCTGAATTAGGCTACCTCTACCCTCTTCTTTTATTCAATTCAGTCACATAATAATGAATTTGCTACTAAATTTACTTTCATAAAAATTGAAATGTCATCATAACAAGTCTTTATGCAACTGTTATTTTAGTTGCAGACACAAGATAAAATGAGTATGTTCATAAGGGATTCAAACATAAATGTATCTCATTGTTTTCAATCTTTTCGTAAATTATGCAATTGTATAAACTTAGCTAATTCTTAGCTGTTGCAAATCACTTTAATCAAGAACATATATTATTGTAATTTATACAGAAACAAAGAGAACCATCCCAGCATGCAAAGAAGGCTTACAGACACCTCAGGGGAGTTCATACTGCTGGTCCCCTCAGAAGTTTGGTCTGATGGATCTGAGGAACCCATGTTGGCTTGGCTTTCTGCGTAAGTCCCCGCCACATCCTTGGAAGACTTGTGACGAGAATGTCTGCCTTTTTTCCTGAACAGTTTGCTTTTCTTCTTTTTGCCAATAGGATGATATTGAGCTTAAAAGTAAAAAAAAAAATTCTATCTTGGACACAAATATTTAGACAAAAGTAAATCAAGTCTGTTTGCTTGGTTGGAACACATTGACAGCAAACAAGTGATTGTTACAAAAATCTATTAGGGTCCCGATGAAATAAATTTTAAATAAAACTTCATATCTTAATGAAGCACTTCCACATTTACTAATCACAGAACAGCTCAAAGATTTCCTGATCAAAGTTGCTTAGCACACCTTTACTGGTTTCAATGCAATACATCAAGCATTATTTTCAAGTATTCTTCAAGAGCTTTTTTTCTGTGAACAAATGCCACAAAAAAACTTTTTATGCATCACAGTAAACTTTTTATGTGCCAGAGCAAAATATTTAGTGCAAGAATGAAATATTTAGAGCCACTGACAGTAAAATTCATTGTGCCTTCACTTAGATCCACTATTGTTAGAAGGGTCAGCTTGGAAGACAGGTGTAATTATTCAAAATTAATATTAATTGTTTACCCCATTATTTTATTTTGTCTGTCATTATGACAAAATGCCATCTCCCAAAAATACTTAATGTTTTGGGCCACAGTTAAATTTTAAAGGATGAAGAACCCTGTTTTAGTTTCAAGTACATGTATTTCACATACCACTTTTTTCCCCTTCATCAAGGAGATGGTCATCATGATCGCTGTCTGTTGCCTCATGGTTGTCATGGTGATGGTCATCTGAATGACCATCTACATTCAGAACTCCTCTGTGCATGTCCTGCAATATGACTTCAGCTTCCATTGTGAATTGTAGCTCTTTATTGTTTAGCCAGTGAAGTTGGAAGTTAAAGTGCTGATCCTTTGACCCTATTACTGGTAGGAGAGGAACGTCTGGAAAGACAAAGTGAAATGTTGTTAACATTGTTTACTTGACCATCACTCCTCATTTTTTCTCTTAGCATTACATCTTTGATTGAAAATTACATGACAAGTACATTTACTTCAAATTTTCTAAAAAAGATGCCACTGATGTTAGTAAAGACATTGCATAATGCTTTGCAACAGTATCTTATTTTGCACTGATTCATAAAGTATTTAATATGTACAATGACCAAAAGCATTACACCAATTTTTTTATGATTCTCTATAGTTTGTTCTGTAAAAGCAATCATGTTACATACATGTATGTGTACTTTTGTGCATTTACATACAATTTTTCTTAATCATACTACTACTATACTATTGCTTCAGCTCAATCATCAGAGAATATAGCTGCATCAAAGCAGGGAAAATGGGAATTAATCTTAAATTTTACCTGTCTCTGGGTTGATGCTGGCAGCCAGATGGAAGTGCAGTACTGTGGCCACACCGTTATGATGAAGGGCATATTTATGGAAATCATGGACACTTTGTACGGTGTTAAAACTAGCCATACTCATCACAGTCTCTGGTCCCATCTTATGGTGCCTCTTACGCTTGTGGATAGCATGTCTGATCAGGAAACATAAAGGTAGTTTTATAAAATAATTAATTAAAACCAAATGATCAAATTACTTGTATTTAGTAGTGTATACCAACATGAACAAAATATGCCAGTGAATGAAAATTAATTTACTCTGCATTTAAAAGAAATAATTTAATCTGAAAGGATTCTTTAAAAGAAATTGAATCTCAAGCTATGCCATTAACGGCTACACAGATATTTCCTTTACCTTATCTATAGTGTTGCTCATGGATTAAATCTGATGATTCAAGTCTATAACATTTTAAGTTTATAAAATCTATGTGAATCTATTTATGTTTAACTATTGAAAGATATCCTTGACCATTCATTTACATCCATGCATAAATACCATCTTGTCAGTTTTGTTAAAACCTAATTTACTCAGAAACATTGAATAGCATGCAAATACACAACACCTTACACAGTATTCATAATTACTACCAAAGCAACATTTATAATTCTATCCATCTGTATATTTAATGTAGTGCAATTTATAAAGCTATCTTTTCCACTTATTTTGTGTGTGTGTTTGTGTGTGTGTTTTCAGCAGTTTATGGAGCTGCAAAGTATATTGTATATATATATATATATTATATATATATATATATATATATATATATATATATATATATATATATATATATATATATATATATATATATATATATATATATTAAACTATATGTACATGTTGCTTATACATGTGTAATAAAGAGTACATAAACATTAAAATCAAATTAAAATTAAAAACAGTTATCAAGATGTCACTGCCACTGTAAAATAAAAAAAAAAAATGAGGTTGTCAAAATGTATTTTCATAGTTATATAAAATTTCAATAAACCATGTACACACAATGTCACTTAAACCCCTGATCACATTTCAACCTGTTTTGTTTAAATCCTTCTGTGTCATATGTAGTTATACATGTCACATGTATAACAAATCTTAGCCATGATTAATTACCATTTAGGGAAAGTAAATTTGCTTCGATTATATTTGGAAAGAAGAAATTATACATTTGATGAATACCTTGTACATAGTATCAGTATGTGTGTTACTTGAAGGCAACAAACATTGTTCAGAAAAAATACCTGCAATTCATTATCTACTTCAAAGCCCCCCATCCCCACCCTGCCCCCTCTACCCCCAAGGTCTTAAATATGTTGTGACCCTCTTTTGAGCTACATGATTGTACAGTATTAAGGGTTTGTGACTATTATAAGATAGTGCTTACAAAAGTGTACTTTTGATATATTGCCAGGTTGAATAGCATGATTATGGGTGTAATGGTGTCTACACATATATAATACGAGGTAGAACTGAATTTAGGTTGAGGAAGTTTTGTCACATTGGTCATAGTGATGAATTACAGATGAATTCTCATAGCTATACATTCACAAAATCCCCATCTTAGTTGTTATATCTATACTTAAGGACAAAACCAAACTGACAGTCCTTCTACCAAAATGCATAGACAGTAAGCTAAGTAAAAAAATTCTAACATTTCTTTATGGGATATTTTTGCCATTTTAATAATAAGAAATCAAAACTGGTACAAAATCCAGCTTTTAAAGTAGAATAACAACTGTTGATTTTTTTTTCCAAAATATATATCAGAATTCAATTTTTTCAACTGTGGGATGCATCTGGTAAATGTATATCAACCTATAAATATCATCACCATAACCAACATTTTTGGCTTAAGCTGTAGAAAAAAAAACACAGATTGAAAGAAACCTCTGTAGGTGAACACCACAGGCATCGGTTTTCCCTCTCCAAAGGCGCTTAATGGGATATCCATTGAGCCCAAAATTTCCCTTTCTGTTGCCATGGAAACAAAATTAACATATTTCACTCAGCCATTTTTCTAAGGATCATATCCTTAGGACAATTAGTTCACAGATACACTGCTGCACAAAATAGCACATTTATAACAGATGTACAAAATGCAGCAAAATAGACCACATTCAAATGTATTTGTTTACATACTCTGCATGAAGCATCAATTTTGCTTATTTTCCCTGACATTGATCCACAAGGCAGTACCCATTGTTAGTAGAGAATTTTAGTTAAGACCTAGCTAGGAAGGCTTTTAAACTTACACATCAAGTAATTTGCTACAATAAAACATATGTGTACCCGTAAATTTGTCTAACTTAAATTTGCTTCATCTACTTGTATTATTATCATAACAAGAAATTCTGTACAAAACATATAATATGTGCTCCACAGCAAATATAAACCAAATACATGTATTTCTACACAAGATGAAGCTGAAAAATACCTATTGTGTACACAACACTTATTCCAACAAATTTCTAACATACCTCTCAAATGTATGCAAATGCAATCTTTGAAAAGCAAAATTTTGAATTAAAATTAATCTGCTCTTTAATTTCTAAAGAATGATGTTGAAGCCAAAGATTCAGATATTATGTTAGATACAATGGTAGCAATACAAATGCCTGACATTTGTTAACTAGGAACAACTGTGACCTGATAAAAAAAAAAAAGCTTTGTCCTTGACCTAAACCTTGACCAAATATATTGTCTCAAATTCACATGAATCAAACATACCAGAGAGACAGAAAGACCTTAGAAGAATATATTCAAATCTTTGATTCAATACCATTAAATTTTACTTAAGAAAGTTAAAAGATAATTATATGTAATAAAGTGCAAAGCTAAGATTCTACAACAGTAAATGTAAACTTAGATTTTTTGTGAAGATTATTAGAATTTTTTAAATTCTGCAGTTGTATTAAAAATTCGCAAACAAGTAGTCATCAAATAGCACCATTACACCTTTGCAAAAGATACGAAGTCTTTGAAGCAAGTTTTATTACCTGATTGTCTTTAACCTCTGAAGAAATCTCTTCTTGTGTCTGTGGGTGTGAAACTTTGGATCCACCGAAGCATTGGGATCAAACTGTTCAAGGTCAACCAGCCCGTCATCTGGTAGAATTGTCTCCACCCACAAACGGCAGACATTATCTAGACATGAGGTCACTAACATGTTCGCAACAGCTCCCCTATAGGTTATCATAGTTTATTTATAGAACTAATCTGACTTTTTCTGATGGATTTATATTACTAACTAGTGTGAGTGTTTTCATACAATTATATACATGAAATCTGTCAAAGCTTTATTCAAAATACAGAAATTTTACCAAGTTACCATTCTTCATTCATTTGTATATCACAGAAATCAATAATAATTATACAATTGTGACAGAAAATATCAATGCATATTTTCTTACAAATTCATCAATAGACACATGTATATTTGTCTTCTATTTCTTACCTGGGCATGTACTTGCTGGTTTTCCTCCATGAGAACCCTGTGACAGCCCTGGGATGGGCAATATAAATAAAGGAATAGTGTTGTTCCTCTTTCTTAGGGCTCACCACACTGTCACCCCTCATAAAGGGATACTGGTCTACAGAAGGATATACATGTACTAATAATTCATTTGAGCAGGGAAGAAAATAACAACATTAAATTATGAAACAGAAAGGTCTACAATAAACTTACAAAGCTCGATACATAGCATCTTCCTTCCAAGAAAATTAGATAATCTAGTTTAGACAGCTAGTACTGTTAGCATGAAATGATTTTAGAAAAACAATAGACTTACTTTTTCTGTCTTCATACCATATCTTCACCAATCTATCATTCTGTAAAGGGAATACATTGGAATTTCAATACTTACAACTTCTAACCAGTCTACATACTCTGTTAATATACAATAGGAATACTATATACCTTTCCAGCTGATGCAAAGAGTAAGCCGTCCCAGGAGTACCTTAGATGATACACAGGAGTCGATGGTCTGAAAACAACACAGAAATAAAACCGTTACTTCAAAAGTTCACTCGATTTATGGATATTTCCATAGAATAGATAGATAGAAAGAAAAAGATTACTTAATGCTACGTCATGCTTTAAAGATTCTAAAACTTTACTCGAAACTTAAATACTCATAGGCACTTATCAATGCTTTTGACACAAAATAGAACATTTGTGACCTTAATCTTGGTTGTCATGAACGCAACGTTGTGGAAAGCGAGTTAAGGTTAGGTATGGGCCTCTCTATGTAAATGAGTTACTACAGAGCAGACTCGTTATTACGATGTTCATTTTGTCACGCTAAAATATCGTAATACCGAGGGCAACATAATAAAAGTTCCCAATAATATCAAGTAAAACATCGTTTTGAAAGCTTGTTGTTGCATTAGGTGTATTTTTCTCCTTTTGTTTCCTTCTTCTGTTCAAATTCTTCATTAAAACGCTAGTAATTAAAGCACAACAAGAGGATTTTTATTATGTAGAGAAGGTTTAAACTCACTTTCTTATACATAATAAGTACCCAAGACAACGTTATAAATCAATACACATTATGACATCATATTATGACAACATTGTCCTTTACTCACGTCCTTAAGAAATAAACATCAACAAAACAGCTTGGCGCAAGGGTTATCTTCTATTTTATTTTATAAAAACAAGATTTATTAAGAAGAAGAATACACCAAAGATCGATGGTATTGCTGCACAAATGTCGACAGTTCAGTTGTTAAGTTACTATTTGTGGAGTTTTGAGTTGAAAAACGATTAAAATGAAGTCTGCCGTTTCTTTATATTCTGATCAAATGAGATGACACATCCTATCTGTGCAGCAATTTCATCAATCTTTTCAATATTCTTCTTATTATTATACCATATTTTTGTAAAATTAAATAAGATATGCCCTTGTACTGAAGCTGTTTTGTTGATGTTCTTTATAAACTTGAGTAGCAGAGAACAATCACATCTTATATGACGTCACAATTTGTACTGGCGATAACGTGGGTACTTAATAAATATATAATTGAAAGTCAGTTTAAACTTTCTCTGTATAATAAGAATCCCTCTTACATGTTTTAATTAGCTCACTTGAACAGAAATGCCCATACCTTGCCTTAACTCACTTGAATCGTTGCTTGAATGATGAATCAAACTTTCAGGTACATATCAGAGAGAGTTCTGCTTTCCACTTTTGTGAAAGATTGAATCCACACAGTAAGACGGATAGTTGAAGAATGTGATTTTTATTTCTCTGCCATGAAGGCAAAGCAAACATAATTTATACATACTTGCATTTCCAGACACAGATCCACACTGTCTCAATCTCCTCAAAAGGATCAAAGGATCCTCCTTCATCCTTATCATGCTTGTGGTCATCATCAGCCCCACCCACATCAAAATGGACAGTCTTAGATCCACCAACAGTTTCCTCATGATGTTCTTGGCTGAATGCCCAGATCTGTATAGATTCACCTCCAGTTAGCAGTCTAGACCCTACAAAAATACCAAACTTAATGTAACTCTATACAATAAATAGATCCTACAACAATAATAAATCAGTGTAACTCTATACAATAAATAGACCAGACAAAAATAACAAGTCAGTGTAACTCTATACAAAAAATAGATTCTAACACAATAACAAGTTATTGTTTCTCTATACAATCAACAGACCCTACAAAAAATAACAAGTCAGTGTTACTCTATACAATAAATAGATCCTGTAATAAGTCCTTGTTACTCTATACAATAAATAAATCCTACAACAATAACAAGTCATTGTTACTTTATACATTCAACAGACCCTATAAAAAATAACAAGTCAGTGTTACTCTATACAATAAATAGATCCTACAACAAGAACAAGTCAGTGTTACTCTATACAATAAATAGATACTAAAACAACAGGCAGTGTAACTCTAAACAATAAATGAATCCTACAACAATAACAAGTCAATGTTATTCTATACACTCAGAATGTGATAATTTTTTAATTTTTTTTTTTTTTTGGATAACGAAGTTTTCAAAGAATACGATATTCATTTTACCACATCTTTTCATTATAATACATGTTAATATATCATTATATCTACAGAATTTGTTCTTCTTTCTGAAACTAAGTTGACCAACTGTGCTGACACTGAAGAATTGTTTGTAGTTTCTCATGTTTATTATCAAAATAACAACATTAAAATAAAACTTAATAAATGAAAATTAACTCCTTGAAATGCTGTTATATCCAGTGCATGTTCTAAGTGGACTCAGTTATCAATAAGAGTATTTTACAGAGAAGTCATTTTGTTTACCTTCAATGTTCCAGCTCAGACAATTAATGTAACAATCCGCTTCAAATTTAGCTGTCTGATACCACCTGTAATCTAATTTCTGAAAAACATCAGAAAATGAGTAGCACACACAAACGCAATCAAAACAGGAGCAACAAAATTGGAAAAAGAAAGTCATTATCTTCATAATGAGTAATGTATTTCATTGAGCAAAAAGTCATGTTCAAGCTAACTCTGATGTGATAATCCATTAATTTGTACACTTGATGTTCACTTTGATAAAAGAAAAAGAAAAACACACACTACGAAAGAATTTTAGAAGCATAATGTATGTGAAATACAAATGCTTCTTTGTTTTAATGCATACATTATAAGCATATTATGAAAGCAAGCCACTGCAGTCAAAGTTCTTAATGCATATAGAACCTTAGTCCTTTACATCTATATGTGACACGCATTGTCTACTGCATGCAAATATCTGATACTAATTAAAAAGAGATGCATAATTATATATAAATGAGTAAACCTTGTACAACTACACCCAAAACCATTCATTTTCACCCCAGTCCCATTCTTTTACTTTTTAATAGTTTTATTTAATAATACCTACAAAATTCCTTTTAACCCAATGCTTCAAAGGAAAATGAACTTTCAGAACCCTTTCCCTACACTCTAACACCACAAATTAGTCTTCTCAGTATTTTATCAGTAGGTTGTTTTATTCAACCACAATTTTGACTGTACAGTGACTTCTACCAGGTAAATGTGTCTTTGGATTAAACCCCATTAAAAGGATTCAAGGACTCACCAGCTCAGTAATAAAAACCCAAGAAAAAACCACTTGCCTTATTACATTTCATGACTATGGAAATTTTACTGGTATTTGTAGACTTATTCTGTTTGGCAATTGGCAACATTTTTTATGAATCTCACATAACTTTAAAATGAAAACAAATTATCCTACAGATATTTGTAAGACTCCCATTAATATTGAAACACTAAAGATTTTCTTGGTTAACAATTTTTATGGTTTCTTTAACTCATTAACAATGGGCACATTTCAAAGCGAGCTATTTTACACATCCTTGTGTAAAGCATAAAGAGTAAAATGGCTTAGTATTTGATTTTAAAAGGAGACAAATTCATTTCTTAGCACATCTAGAAATCAGCTCTAAGCAAAAATTTACCAAGCTTATAATGTATTTTAAATGTTTGAAAGTCAAACGATAAAAAAAAAATCATTGAAGTACAAATGTAGTACATACAGTATGAGTTATTTGACAAAGCTTTTAAATTGAAGACTTTAAGTGATTTTGGCAGAGAAAAAAGGAAACAAAATATAAACAATAAACTTGAAGACTTGAAGATCCTAATATAAATACAATGTATTATGTTTTCTTTTCAAGGCTTATATGATTGTGCATTTAAAACTGTACAGATCTTTTTTAAAAATCCAACCTCAGTCATCTTTTTATGAAAAGTATGGTACATTTAATAATCTGGAAGTGAAGTGGAGTTGATATGTACAGTAAAATACACATATACTGTAAGACATACTTTTGTCCATGCAGGACATATTTAAGTTAACTCCATGGTCACAAACAAATCCGTGGAATTTCATCTCCATGGACTTAAAGTACATTTATATAGTCAGTAAGATGATATATTCATTGCTAATAATGCAACGATCAATTTGCATTTTTGCAGATTTCAAGTGCTATAAATAATTTATTCATTTTATTTAATGTAACTTAAGTATGTATAAACATAATCAGTGTATTAATTCATAAATAATAATTGCCGTAAAACAGTGCACCATACCAGCATAGCAGGATAGCTATCAAATCCATAAGTTTGTTAACATAGTTAATGTCTACCTAATGTTATCACATCATAATTGTACTGTAAAAACACTTTTGGGTAGTTTAAAAGATAATACAATGTATTAACATGCCTTACTTATGATTTTTAATAATTTAAATTTGATTAAAAACAAGAAAATAGTAGGCATAATAAAACACATGTAGATAAAATGTTTGAATGATGAATAAGTTATATATCAATAATAAATAAGTATGTCTATACAGTATGAAAAAAGTGCCAGGGATTAACAATTTTGATTCATTTTAAACCATAATTTGTTAAGTTTATGATAGGTTTTAAAACCATGAAGAATGAAAATCACTTCACTGTAAGCATGAATTCATTGTAAGCATGTTCCCTATAACTGTGCTTACTGTATCTATTTAAGGGTTGATTATAGATGAAACTGAGGTAGATTTTATAAGGAAAAAGATTATTAGTCAGGAAATACTTGATTAGTAAAGTACAGACCTCACTCTGCTACAAGAGAGAAAACAGGTATTTATAAGAAATAACAAAAACATGGGATTGACACAGATTATATTCAACTAAAGATAAGCAACAACAAAAAAAAGAAGAAAAAAAAGACCCCAGGTTATGATCTTCACTCAAGTGATCAAGATAAGAAACTGAATCTCACCTGTTGGTATGAAATACATGTATTAATTAATTAATATTATTTAAATAAATCTTTTTTTGAACACAAGATAAGTTTTAACATATAATTAAAGGACACTGACTCCTTGAGAAAATGCTTCAAAGCATTGTCTACTCTCTTATTATGAATTTGTTGTGTGTTTATTTAATAATAAATATGCTAAGCATAACTTATAAGAAATGTTCCAGCTGGGGACTTTCGGGTATTAAGGAACACACTGAATAATAACATTAATATTAGAAAAGATAAATGATGAAGTTATCATATAAAAATATTAAAGAGGCTAAAATATACATGATCAATGAACAAAAAATTCCTTATGGTATAAAATAATTTCAAAGAATGGAATGTTAATATCAGAGTGAAGCATTCTTTGTGAGAAATAAAGTACATGTTAATATAACACAAAGCAATAACTTCGTTATGATGTGTTTAAGAGTGTTACTATGTAAATATGCCTAAAAAAGTGTTATGACTGAAAAATGTTAACATTCATTGATATAACTGCTCATCTATGTCATGTTTTAAAGATTTGTTTGGTACCAGTTTTATTAGTACTGCTAAGAGATAGAAAATACTTTAAAAAATTGTACAGAATGAGTCACTAGATTTGACAAGGACAATGAATCTTAGCAAAATTAAAACAAAGATTTTCATCTTACATGTGTACTCTCATGGTGACGTAATGGAGTTGGTTCAAATATGTAAACTTCATTCTGGTAAGATGCTGCAATCTAAACAAAAAATACACAAATTCAAAATTTAATAACTCATACTTCAAAAAACTATCGACTTTTGTTCATATGCTTTTAATTTAATGGGAACCAGATACATGTCATATTTTAAAGTTATGGTTATTCTGAAAATTACTAAAATTTGGAACCTCAGATATCATCCTGTCAAGGAGAAATATAATTGGTTTAAACACAGTTTGGTAATATTCATATCTCTGGCAATATATGGGATCAAAACAAAAGTAAATGTATAGTGATTAGTGCTTTGCGTTGTGGCCACAAAAACCAAGGTTGGAATCCTGGTCTTGGCACCAAATATAAGAGGAATGGAGAAAAATTTGATGGACCAGACCAAGACTTGAACCCTAATAAGCCAGAATTCCATTAAAAATCACTGAAGCAGAATGAAATGCAAACTGATCTGTAATTCATCAAGGTACCTTACACATAGCAAAAATCAGCTCAACATCTGCAAACATTGAGCTAAAAAGTTCATAAAATGAAGTGGGACAGACTTACAGACAGATGGACAGCTAGACAGACAGACAGATGAGGAGAAAACCTATAGTCCCTTCCAGTTTCACCAGTAGGGGACTAACAAATATTCATGAAATCTGTGTTGCCAATATGCTCTAGTAATGCATATCTTGACATACATGAAATTTCTCTGATAAGTTACACTCAATATATTATATATGAACAATGCTTTAACTTTAAATAACACTGCAAAATTACAGGCCATATATTTTTTTTAAATACAATTGTGGATCATTTAAAATGTAGATCTTCTGTATCACAAAATACTTAACTTTTTTTATCTGTCTTTGAAAAAGATAATGCTTGCTTCATTGTCTAAATGAAAGTTTCATAAACTTACTGCTAAAAATATGAAAGGAGAAAAAAAAATTCAAAGAGAAATTCTCACCTTTCCACTGTCTGTTGAGCAATCAATGCAATTGACCTTCACATTTCCATGAGTTACACCTGGTATAATCTGAACTCGCTGGAAGTCACTAGCCAAAATCACTATGTCACATCCTGCTGCGTAGGCCTAGCAAAAGCAGTTACATTGAGATTAGTCATGATTGAGTCTTACACTGCGACCAGAAAACAACTAACAACAGTAAAAACAATTTTAATAATTCAAGGAAAAATGATTTATCTAATGAAAATTAATGGGATTATTTAAAAAACTTTACTTTTAAGTTTTTATTTATTCACTTACTGTTTAATTAGTCTTGGATTGTTGGAAACTAAGATTCAATTCTGTGTTGTAAAATTCATTTATTTGATAATTTCTATACTGACTTAATGATTGTGAATTTACAACAACTTTATTCAATCCAACCAAAATCCACTTCATTTATATTGCAAATATAATAAAATCCACGATGGATTTGACGCTTACCTTTCTAGGCATTAGTGTAGCTGGACTAGTGCCTATTTACTTTTTTTACTAGTCCACAGTCATTTTTATTAGTCCATCAAAAAATAAAAATCAATGTTTTGTAATCTTTTAAAATTAAAAATTACTATGTACATTTTGTACTCTTTTCTTTGAAATGAATGAAGGATTTACATGTACATGACATTTTTGATTAAAAATAATTTCAGAACCCAATTCATACGGTTTCACATTTATTGAACTTGTAAAACCATAAATTCCTTGAAATTTTGCAGCCAATGAGTACTCCTGATCTGGTTTCTTTTCCCTCAATATATATTACACCCTAGTCAATACATTTTGGGACTTTCTTATTACTTATTAGGTTTGATGCTGACTGTACCAAAATGTGTCCGGTTTTTAAAGCCATAGAAGGGAGGCAAAGCTATGGACTTTAACAACTAGAACAATCAGCAACAAACACCTTTAATATATGTGTTTTGTTGAGGATCAAGACTTTAAGTATGTAAATATATATATCTATATCTTTATCTATATATCTATATCTATATGAAATACAACTAAAAAGATGTTCTAGATGCCATTTTGCCATCTAAATTTTGCTACTTGTCGCCTTTAAGGAATTTCAACAGCAATCATGCAATGCATTAAATCCAATGACAGAGCGTCACTCTTGACAAGGCAAATCAATGACGTACTAAATCATGATCAATAAGACATTTACTTTATTATGATAAGCTGTACAATTAAGCCATGAATTTACTACCGCCAAGAAATTTTAAATACATTTTGGGGGTTTCCAAATTTGCATTAAAAGTTCCCCAAATCAGATATCTATGATTATAAATTCCTGAATTTTCTTTGGTCTGATCAGGCTGATTGATTAGTCCAAATTAAAGTTTATAATATTAGTCTGAAAGACTAACTCAAATGTTGAGCCCTGTAAATTCTGATGGCAATTTTAAACATATTTATAGCTGTCACATGTTCATACTGTGCAATTTTTAACTATTATGTCTAATTCTTCAATATGATTCTAATGTTTGTTGATAACTTGATGTTTATTGAAGCTTACTGCTAGCCCATTTTAAAAATTAAGATTTTTCAGTAACATCACAATCTCAAAAAATAATGTTTCTCAATGAAGAAAAACATCTTGAATGTCCCGACTAATACATACATAATAGTTCTTGTTTTGACTTCCCTTATTTAGCTGTTATTCAGCTAACTTCTACGTATTAACTTCTCACTCCTTCTAATAAAGATCTCAACATTAGATTACTGTATGGAAAGTGTAATTCCCTTATTCAATTACGGTAATTAACTCTGTCATCAGATAAAGCTAATCCCGATAGACGATTTCCTATATGGTATATACATTATTGACAAACTAGACACCGCACACCTCCCTACTGTTGTCTCGTTATACTTACCGTAAAATGAATGCCCTCTACGCTTCCAACAGCATAGCACTGGTCTCCTGCATTGCATGCTCCTGTTAACACTTGGTGCCGGTTCATATTAGCCGTAAAAGCACCAAACTAAACGCAACTTATGCTGTAAATAAAAATACCCCAATCATCTGACACATCGCCATATTGGATTGATTTCAGTGAGGGAGGTAACTCGTACAATTTCGTGATGACATTTAATTAATTCGTTCTTTGGATATCTAGTGTTTGCGAATAAATCAATAAATTGTTTTCGGCGATGTTTTGCCTATAAATGAAAATTCATATTTCTTTTTTTTTTTCTAAAAAATATTAAGATATCAAGTAGTACTAAATAGAGACGTGACACCAAACATAAAAATACTTCAGTAAAAGTGAGTTTAACTTCAGAAAACAACTAGAAAACCCAATGATCAGTGATGATTGCAGAGAAGGGAGCATGCTGGACAATTTCCACGGTATCTTCTGAAACCTTTGCACTATGACATATTTTAGATTATGTACTTACGTTCCTTCGATAAAAGAGACTATTTTCTTTGTTCACTTGTACATTTTCTCCTCACCACTCTCCACTCAGATGATAGCAAAAATCCCAAATGTACATGCAGTCTTCCTTGTCGCTGCTCTAGTTGGAATACGACTCAATACGAGTTTGTCAAGTGCCATGATTATTTCCATCAGTAACTGACTGTGTGTCAAGATTTTCTAGCTCCCATGCAATCTGTGTTGTAACAAAATTGCTGGATAGCGTGAAGGTAAAATTACGAAGCCGCTTCGAAAGTTCAAACATATGACTCTCTCTCTCTCTCTCTCTCTCTCTCTCTCTCTCTCTCTCTCCGGGGAATATGGTGCGCATACTTTCATGGCACAGATTTTAAAAAAAATATATACACGTACTTCGATGTTTTAGGGAGAAAATAAATTCACGTTAAAGAGGTCTTTTTCTGTAATTAATGACAACTTCTATTGAGATAAAAATTAAATTCAAATTTAAAAATACATAACACATGGCAAAAAATTTAAACAAGTCATTTTTTTAAGAGCTATAACTTTGAAAGCATATTGAACCGAACCGGTTGCATTATATAAAAAGGAAATCTTTGGAGGAAAAGATTTAGGAACTTCCGAAGAGGGGGAAAATAGCAATTATTTAAGGGATCTCTAAACACTGCACACTAAAGAGTTCTAATTGTAGGGTAGTTTTATGCACAGTTAGAGTGATCTGTCCTTAGATAAAATAAACGGAAATATACAGTTAATGACGCAATTTGTGATGGATTAAAGTATTCTTTACATTATATTAGACCAAGGAAAATTAATTATATATATATATTTTACATATTTATTTTCTCAGTGCAAGTACCTGTAAACAACAATGATTTACCTTCACTGATAAGAGGGTTGTCCCAGAAAAAAGCGAACATTCAATATTTTTTGCTTCAAAAATATTATAAAGTTAAAAATTGGCATGCACCATAATCAAGATCTTTTGAATGCTACTTCGAAACTTCAATAAACTATCTCTATAAACAATATTTTTCCTCTGTTAACAAATAGCTGTCGGCGCAACATTGAAGACGTCAAAATGTAGCTCGTGGCGTTTAATTGTGAATTTGTTCAGGAATCGTGGGTGCTCAGGCGCGGATCCAGGAATTTTTTCCAGGGGAGGTCCAAAAAATGTCCAACCCATAAATTTCTTGAAAAAAAAAAAAACAAAACAAAACCTAAACTCCATTTCGCAAACGTGAAAAAAATATCGTGGTAGTGGGTGTGTAGTTTTCTATGGGGATCCAAAGTCATATTTTATTTGCTTTTGTGTATACTTTTAATAACTCTGCAGATTCCAGGGGGAGAGGGGGTCCGGACCCCGACCCCCCCTCCCCTCCATCTCTAGACCCGGGCATGGTCCTTACAAGTTTGAAGCATAAATTGGACACTGCAGTTGATTTTCTGTTACGGTTCAGGCACGTAGGGGGAGCCAGTGGGCCTGCTTCCCTCTTTTTTCCCCCAAACATAACCTTTTACTATTGAAAATGTTCATTGAAAAGCTGTTTGCCCCCCCCCCCCACCCTCGCTAGTTAATTTTTTTCAGTTGATTGAGAATTATTTTTCTGCACCCTCCCCCCTTTCATAAACGATAGTACGTGCCTGTAGTTACCGATTTATCTATCTCAGACAGACTAGAACTACCAAAAGAATTAATTCTTTTAATAGACAATTTCCCAACATCCCGATCATAAACCATAGGCGGTGTTCGCGAATGACGTTCTGTTGCCCGAAAGCACAGTCAATATATATATATATATATATATATATATATATATATATATATATATATATATATATATATATATATATATATATATATATGAAAAACAAAACAAATCAATAAAATTGTATTTTGATTTCATTCATAAACATTCAACAACTGATTTGTATTATATAGATCTATACAGTTATAATTATTTTTTCTTCGAAAAGGGTCCCTTCTGCCTATACACCGTGGTCATATTGTTGTCATTTATGATTTCAAATAAATGAATTTTTAAACATTAGTATTCCATATCATAGAGATTTTATGGATATAATTTTTGTCATATTATATTTCCGCATAGCTTGGTAATAAAGAAAACATTCTGTCAGTGCTATTTTTAACAGTAAAAAAAAAAAAGAAGAAAGAATAAAAAATAAATATTCTTTAAATGCCGTTTCCACATGCAAAAGACATAACAAACTAATAACATTTTGTCAAAATAGCGAATATTTCCCAACAATGTGCCAAAAAAGAATAATTTTGGTCAGGTTGTTTATGAAATATTCAAAATGTTCGCATTCGCTCATTGCCATTGAATATTTTTCCTAAGAAATAAGGCAGGTACCCTATGTTCATAATTGAAAATTAGCTAGATAAACTCATTATGTACACCTTAATATGATATACTTTTCTCAACGTCCATTTGAAGTGTCGACAAAAAATTCTTAAAAGACATTTTGAAACGTTGCAAGCATATACATTTCTTATACACTATCTTGCTACATTGGCCTAGGGTGACTTCGTTTCAATGGAAACAAGCATATCGAAATCATCTGTATTTGTTAATCGCTTGAATGTAAATCATGCATAATTTACAGTTCTACCTTATTTTAATTACTGATCCTGTTGATTTATCAAAGGTCTTGGAAACTGCTACTCATTGTATTGTAATGCCTTGTAAATCATTAAGCTTATCAATAATGCACACGATTAAACAACGCGACAATTAATTTTCAGATAGAGTTTTAGCAACAAAAGCAAAAATCAATTTTAAAAGTGTTTTTCAGTTGTTATATAATATTACTTTGCTTGCTTTGACAAACAGTAACGATTGATTATCTGCAGTCCGAGAAGGTGCTTATGATAAAGACAAAAGATTCATATGATTTTTATTCCTCCGCAATCGCATGGGTGCTGGCACGAAAAGGATCCCTCACTGCTCAAAGGCCATAAGTGCTAAGTAAAAGTATAATTTGCAACCCTCCACCGACAAGTGGTGGCGTCTCAATATGAGTGAAAAATTCTCGAAAGGACGTAAACAATATAAACAAACAAAATTAAAACTACCTGAGGATGCTTCCATATCTATGTGACTAAACATGGCTTATCTGTTCTTGAGAAGATTTTTGAAGTTTTTTCTTATATATTCCTAAATAAAACTTTGATCCCCAATATTGTGGCCCACCCAACCTCCGGGAGCCATGATTTGAACAAATTTGAATCCTCACTACATGAGGATCCCCGGGGTCATGATTAAGCAAACTTGAATCTACACTATGTAAAACAGATTTCACATAAGTTTCAAATTTTCTGGCCCAATGGTTCTTGAGAAGATTTTTAAAAGATACCACCAAATTTTCACTAATTCTTAGTTATCTCCCCTTGAAAGAGGAAGTGGCCCTTCATTTGAACTTTCCCTTTACCGAAGTATGCTTTGTGGCAAGTTTGGTTGAAATTGGTCCATTGGTTCTGGAAAAGAAGTCAAAAATGTAAGAAGTTTACACGGACGGTCTATGGACACAATGTGATCAGAAAAGCTCACTAGCTTTCAGCTCAGGTGAGTTAAAACTATTAGCCCCTGAATATTCGGATAGAGGGGCATAGAAAGGGGGATGAGAGCTCAATGCCAGTTCATAAATTCATTTAAAATAGTTATATTTACTATACATTTGAATTCAGCATGTTTTTAGCACAGAGACACTAGACAATGAATTCCAATACATAATTTATCGAAATTAAACCAGCAGATGAATAATATATGCATGTGATCTTTAGATCAGTTCAAGATAGTCGTGTTTGCTATCATCCGTTGGGTATCGAAATGCCGTTTGTTGTTTTTGTCCTGGAGTTAATGGCGGCGCTGTGGGGGTCAAAAGAAAGTCCAATTTTGGAGACGTGGACTCATAATCATACTCCACAACAGAATATAACGAAGTTCTTTTCTCTCTTTCAAGTTCAAGCGTTAGTTCGGAAACTACTGAGCTTTGGCGATTGATTTTCTCGACGAAGTATAATTCACTCTGTTGTCTACGGAGCTCTTTTGTCGTTGATCTCCACTTCAAGACGAAAATCACAACGAGAATAAAAAATAAACACAAAACTATTCCAAGTCCAACAAAGATAGCCATGTATTTCTCTGGAAAAGACGATACATTTGCTGCTTTGTCAGAGTTTGATCTGGAAATATTACCCAGTTCCATAGTGGGGGCTATCACAGTTGATCTAACATCGGATTTCGTGCCATCCCTGTCAATTATTTTAGTCGTTGAGTTAATTTTTTTCAACAAAGAGGTAGTTGATTGTATGACATCGCCGTGCTCCCTTTTTGAGGTAGTTAAAAGGTTCGTGTTCGATTGGATTTTCGTGGTTGGTAACAAAGTTGCTTTAACTTTTTCAGAACTCATGTTTTCAGTGTGTCTCTTGGTGACGTACTCCTGTCCATTGGGATACTGAAACTGCATGTTTAACCCTGGGGCATTTGGTGTTGGTATCATGAGATTTGTCCGTGGTGAATCTAAAGACGAAAAGGATGAATAAATCGCGAGTCAACTTGAACACAAACCAGTTTGAAATATATTGATTTGATACATTAATTGTTTGATTTAAGCATGGTGTTATAGTTCTTTGAAATTATCATTATGTAGACAAGCAACCACGTACCCGAGTTACAGCTACAGACATAACATCCCAAAGAATTAATATGAAACTGACACGGACATTGTTCATTTGCTAAAAGGAAATCAACGTGCTTGTGTTTAGATGAAGTAGAAAATATGAAAAAGCAGATACATGCGGAAAATGAAACAAACAAACGAACAAAAGAAACGGAAAACTATAATTAAAAAAAAAAATCATGCAAATAAATTTTACGGCTTCTACCTATGAACCCAGTTTGCATTGGATTTCCCATGGGAATATTCCCGTAAAAACTACTCCCTGTTCCTATACATTCCTTTCCTAGTCCTCCACTACTGGCGGCCAAAGGGTTAACGGCGTGCATTGAGTTCTCCAGAAGATGGGGAAAGAATTTGTTTACGTCCAGGTCCATACCGTTTCCAACAACTTTAAAATACGTAAATAAATATTATGCAGATGTTTTCTGAATTCTGAATTATTACTACAAAGATTTTTAACGCAAGATTATCCCCACAAAAAGTTACCTTGTCCAAGACTAGTATCTTTTAGATGAACAAAGGTTGCTAAGAAAAATGCTAGGAAATACATCGTAAAATTCATTCCAATTTTCCACCTCTCTTTGTCAAGTTCCATCCATTATTGTCAAATTCACTGTATTAGGCCACACAAGTGGAATGCATTGGCTTCAAACTGTAGAGCTATTTCTCTCCCCCCTCCAAAAAACTCGAAAACGTGTACATGGTTTAGAACTATCTTTATATGAATTATTTCCAAATTATTTTCTGTTTGTGTATTAAACTATGAAACGAAACGTATATTGGACATTAATGAAAAACAGGAATATAAGGCTGATAGTTTATCAGTGATCGTTAATGCCATATAACACATAAAACAAACAAATACAGATTATTGGCCTTACCAGTACTCTAAAAGACAGGTGCTCCAGTACAATTGATAAAGGTACAGCTAGGGAAAATTCTTAAGCAGATAAATAGGACCTTTACAAATTTCCTTAGTTTTTATATTAAAATATATTTAACAAATATCATAATTTATACTTATAAAGGAAAGGTATGTTTGGCAATTAAATTAATGATGAGATTTTTTTCAAAGACAATACCCGATTAAGATGGCGGATATTATATAATAACACCGTATAGATATCCATTTGTATGGCTAAAATTTATCGCTATTATCACATTTTGTGGTTACGATGACTTCTAAAAGTAAATATTTCACAAAGTTCACTGAAACGTTTTGTAGAAGATTTCCGCTGATGAGATAATGAAACTTTTCTATACATACAGGGATTTTAAAGTTGATTACGGAAATATTCCCATAAATATAATATGTTCTTTATCCCACACCACAGATTGGCAATAACTGGAATTTATTAATGTGATTTGGAAAGAAATAAATTTGCAGAATGATAATTTTAAAACATCCTTAGTATCCATAGAAATGTATACTGACAGAAATGATTTTATACAAGGCGAATAAAGACAAGAATGTACGACTGTATTATAATAGGCAAATATACCCATTCATGGAATTTTTACAGGCATTGAAAATGTAAAAGTAAAAGAAATGCAAAACGTCCAAACTCTTGAAACTCATTCTTTGTCCTTATCACTTGCAAAAATTACAAATCATCACTTTAAATAATTAAAGCAGAGATTTATAAATTTGTTGTATATCTTATAAGTTAAACTTCTAATTGGCCTTCAATTCAACATTAAGATATATCAAGGACACTTTATCAATTAAAAATATTCATTTTCATTCCTACGTTGATTTGATATATCCCATTGAACTCGAAATAAAAGACACCACAGAGTCTAACACATCTGTTTCATTTGGATGTTTTACCAGAAAAAAAAGACATTGATGTAAACTAACAGCTAAACTTTTATGATAAACGCGATGACTTCAACTTTTCTATCAACTTCCCATATTTATGTAGAATATACATGTACCATTACACCCCCATATGGGGTTAACGTACCACACCTAGAGTTTATGTATATAGGTGTGGTACGTCTTTAATTTAAACGTGTTTTTTCTTGACTGAAAGTGTCAGAATATCTATTTAACAACTTTTAAGTGCATTTAAAAAAGATTGAAAATTTTTAAAATTTATTTTACATTTAACAATCCGGAAGACAAGCCCCTATGACATTTCCCTGTTGAGTCGATACGCAAGAGCATGTTCGAACAATTTCTAGCAGATACTATAGCCATTTCTCCACCAGGGTTTTCTGATGTAATCCAGCTATATTCTAGCCATTTTGTGTGGTGTACGTGCAATGGCAACAAGGTTAACCAGACCGGAGACTCACTGGAAGCCAGTTGGCGGGAGTCCGTCGTGAAACGGGGCGTAACGGGGACGTGGTTGTGTGCGCGAATATCAGGATGATGTGGCTAATATAGACAATTTAAGTTATACTCATTAGCCTCCACTGAATCAGTGTGATTCACTGCACAGCTTGACTGGAATTGTTCACTTAGTTCTGTTTGGTCCTTTGATACATGTTCTACCTTTAGTTTATTGGCACCATTCTGAGGTTGTTCTGAGTCCTTTTCATTTTTTGTAGTGTCTGTAACACAAACTTTCACTGGACATTTCTCTGTGTGTTCTTCCTCCTCGCTGTTTTCCAGTATATTGTACACATCACTACATGCTGACAGAGATAACAGGGAAGACAAAAAGTCAAGATATGTATTTATAATAATTTTAAAAATCTTCATAATTCTGTCTTGAAATTCAAATATTAAAGGTGGCATATTTGGATGCCATAAAAAAAATGCTCATGTTTATGTTGGATATGAAGTTCCATATAAGTATAAATTTTAGTGAGGATTCAATTTTGGCATTTTTAGTGTGGGTGTTGAGATCGTTAAAATTGAATATCTCTAAAATTCATTCTGCATTGGAGGTTACCATTATCTTTCTAGGCATCATAAAATTACCAAAATTACTCTCATTAAAATTAGTTTCTGATGTTTAAAGACAAATTGTAAAAAAAAAAAAAAAAGAAAATTCCACTTGTATGGTACATATCCTGAAGAGTAGGTCAGGATGATTTGCCTATACAGAATAGTAATGAGGTGTTATCATTTATAGAGAAATAACAGTCTGTCATAATATTCTCAAATACATATACATGTATCAGTAATATTGATATATGCTTTATCATAATTGTTGGTAAAGTCTTTTTGCTTAGCTGTTCAACGTTCATGGATGATGCAAAATCTTCATGCAATCAGCAATCTATCATACACAAAGCATAGATATTTACTATCATAGAAATTCTGTATTTGTTCCAGATTTTTGTGTCAAATTAAGGACAACAAATTTACCTCCAGTTATGTTGAAACTTTAATATTCTGTCATTTTTACTTTACAATAAGCCAGAATTCACATAATTGCCCAAGGATACTAATGATCAATATCAAGCACAGAGTCGGATATGGAAAGAGTGCATTTTTCAACCAAAACATCATTTTTCACAAAAGGGACAGAAGATCAATCATCATTTTTATATAGATATTATCACAAGCACATAGGAAAATTTATCCATGGTTAATTGACAAAGGGAAATCTTCCAGACATGTACATTCTGTTTGGGGAAAATGCAAATGCAATAACCTAAAATATCAAATATGCAAATAATTAAAAAAAAATTTTTTTTGCAAGACAATTACTTCTTATTCTTACCGGCAAATGCCTCTGGATATAATGTTCCAAGTCTTTGTTTCAAAGTCCTATAAAAAATAAGTTAAACTATTAAATTCATTTAAAATGAAGAAGCTCTCTCTCTCCCTCTCTCTCTCTCAAACAAATACAAACCTTATTCTCCTAAAGATGATATCTAGGTCTGCCTTCATTTGTCCAAGAACTTGTGTATGTTGTCGAAATTCTTGTGATGTTGCCTCACAACGGGCAGATGACAGCATATTGAAATTGATTAACATTTCATTGGTTTTCTCATATCTAGCTAACCTAAATTAAGAAAAATGCTGTGTAATGAAAATTACAAACAGACAAATACAGTAGGACTATTTCACAGTGTATAACACTGTATAATTTCATATAATAAGATACCAGTACAATGTATTGATGTACATGTACATCACTTACTTCATACGAATATCCTAACATTAAATTAATAAAGTTAATTGTCCTTCTTAAAAATAATAGTATTAAATTTTCTGGCATTTATCTTCACTACGGAATAAATATTTTTTAGAGGAAATTCGAATTATGGTCTTTGTCACAATTATACGCCCCCAATATTTTTACTTACATGTCTCGTTGAAGCTGTACCATAGATTGGACATCTTCTCTGTTTACTTGTTCAACAAGTGCCTCCGTAAAAGCCCTTGAGGGTTCAATCGATATTTCATCTTCATCATTCTCTTCCGTTGTTGTTGACATTTTGCCGCAATGAAAATATTCGGGATCGGCATTCCGGAGTACTCACTCGGTTATTTCCCTTCTTACAGACGACTTCCCTATTCTAAAACAGACGAAAATGACTCTATTTGCTGTATTTAGGGACTGCAACAGCACTTAATTGCTGTTTTATGATCTGTATATTTCATAATTTTTAGTCATGTCATTTGAAGAGTTAGAACAGGTTTGTATGATTGTTTGATATAGTAATGAAAATAGTCTTTAATTTGAATTGCCTCAGACACGCCTACTAGCAATGCATGATATGGGGAATTGTTCAAAATTAAGCATTTAATTTTGTTTTAACTGCAACCATATAGATTAGGTTTTGGAATTTCACTGATGCATCACAATTTTTTTATGATTGAATATTCCTTGGCATTCATAGATTAAGATGTCACTCCTCATAATTTTTAAGGTATATAGACGACTTTCACATTTACTTCATTTATTTCCCTTTGTGGGGTCACTCTGGATCAATCGAAGTAAGACACTGTTTTCCCTCTGTAACAATACCAATTTTACGGGGCAATGTCTCATAAATGAAATCTGTATGAATTTGCTCGTTATGTTTTTTATGTTGCTCCATACTACGGCAATACAAGAATGAATCAAAATTGTTTGATACCGTATAAAGGTTGAAAATATGTACAGGCAACTTACAAAGGATACATTGAAAAAAACAATTGTTACGCCAACAACGGGAGATAACTCTTACAAATGTGAAATTCGTCTATATTATCCATTCATGTATTCACGTTTTGATAAAAATATTTATGACTTGACCATGGTTTTGTTTGATTTGAAAGATGTGGTTTTGTTTGATTTTACAGTTATTATCATTTATTTCTAAATTAATATCATTTATTGATATATTAAAGAAAAGAACATTATAATAATTTTGTAAAAGTTCGTCTTTGAATTTCTGACTCATTTCAGGAACCATTTAATGCACATGAATTTGTGGAGAGATTAGCATGGAAAACTATTGGAAAGAAGGCTCGAAACAGTTATGAAAATTTTGATCCATGGACGCTGCATTCAGCATTTGAACAAGCTATCAAAGATCTAGAGGAGAAAAACAAACAGATTGAAAGAAATATTGAAAAGTTAGAGCATTCCTGCAAGGATGAAGAAAAGAAACATTGGCAAAGGGTGGCTGACTTGCAAAGAAGGAATCAGGTAGTGGCAGGCTAAGTAGCTTATTCTTATTTCTATTTCTAGAAAAAAGTATCATGTGTGAGGCTGAAGAATCCAGAATGAGCCTAAAACAAGATTAGTGAAGATTCCAGTTGTGATGTTAGAGAACTTGCCAACATTTTTAGCTCTTCTGAGCGCTAATGCTATGGCCATTTGTGCAGTGTGCGTAAACTTTTTAGAATATGGACCATAACTCAAGAACCCCTTGGCCAATTATTGTCAAATTTGTCACAGGGTATCCTTGCCCCAAGGGCTCCCTATTATACTAAAACTAGGGTTGTGACCCTTTAACAAGGGGAGATAATTAGGAAAATAGAAACAAAAGTACTAGTTGCTAAAAAATCTTCTTCTCAAGAACCACTGGGCAGATTATCACCAAACTTATCAAAAAGGATGAGGATATGTTGTAGATTAAAATTTGGGGTTTACCCTGGGGCAAAGGGCGTGGTCTCAAGGTCACTTCAAAGTTGACCAAAAATTACATTTTATTAAAATGTTGATATTTCGCTTACTATAAGGACTAGGATCATCAAATCTTGTCAGTTGATGCATCTAAGGACCTCATATCATGTTGAGTCAAAAGTAGGTCATGGTGACCTACTTTTTAAATTTTGCGGCCATTCTTTTTCAAAATGATTTAGAGGCATATTTTGAACAATTTAAGGCCTATGATCATCAAACTTTGTCAGTTGATGCATCTTGGGTCCTCGAAGTATGTCAACTAAAAAGTAGGTCACCTTGACTTACTTGTCCGCGAGTATTCTCAAAAACGGTTTGAGATTGAGTCTAGAAACTTTCAGGGATGATAGATTGTGACTCGTAGAATTGAGAAACCTGTTTCGTTTTTGTTGCCGTGACATCCGTTGTCCACCGGAAGTAGTTTAAAAATATGCAAATTTTTATTTTTTTATTTTTTGAAATGTTTATAATAGAGGCAAATAGACTGTTTTGAGTCATATTTTTTCCACTGGAAGTGATTTCTTCCAAACCGGACGTAGTCGAAAAAATGCTCATTTTTCCTCGAAACGTTGAAGGATGATTCCTCCACACTCAGTGAGGAGTTAAAAGTCATTTTGAGTACTTCTGGTCATACCGGAAGTGAATAAAAAAGACCGGAAGTTGTTTGAAATTGATAGATTTCACTCTTTAATGTGTTGCTAAACATATTTTGAAGAATTGACATTAATATTTTTTTCATTTAAAGATTTTTTACTTTCTTTTATCAATCAAAATTTCCCGATCAAGATCTTATCAGAAATCTAACGGAAGACCTACTTGTTGCTCGTAACGAGATCTCATCTAGTTTTATTATTATTATTATTATTTTGGCTTCAGACATCCTACTCCCACTTCCAGTCTTTGGATGAAAGAATCAACTTAGTGGCCACTAAAGTTGTTCACTTGGGGGACCAGCTTGAGGGAGTGAACACACCCAGAGCTCGAGCTGTAGAGGCTCAGAGACTTATGAACTATTTGAACGAGTTTATGTCTGATGAACCCCCCAAATCAGCTGTCTTTACAGATCCATTCCAGGTGATCCAACATAAATATATTTTTTAAAAAATAATACATGTATGACTTTTTTTATTCCATATGTATAAATGTAATATGCACAATTTCACAAAAAGTAATATTTTAGCATTAAAAATATCAGTAATTTATAATAGAAGATAACTTTAAGATTCAGACATAAATCCTTTATATCCAAAAAAAAAGTCAATTTATATTCATTTAGCAAAATTAAGTAATGATTTTTTTCAAAAATCAGACTAAGTTTATTTTTATAAATGATTTTCATGTACAGTCAAACCTGTAGTAAGAGACCTTCCCAATGGAGAAAAGAAAAAAGGTCACATATGACAGGTGGTCTCTTAATACAGGTTGCTTATTTTCCACAGTGATCAAGTGTACAATGCTGAAAGTATTGTACAAGTATTGACTATACAAGTATGTGAAATTCATATTTTTATCATGCATTGTATACCGGTACTTTCGCTTGTATCATGTATTGTTTATTTATGATTTTCAGTAAGTTCTGCTCAACTGTAAATGCTTGCATATATATATATTGTTGGGTACAATTGTAATGTTTGGTAATAAAATTTGCGCTTGATCTGTCAATGAGTCATTTTGAAAATTGGAAAATTTTGAACATTTTAAAATATTCGAATTTCTTTACACATAATGAAAAAAATGTAAAAATGTTTTTACCGTAATAATTTTTTTTACATGAAAGCCTAGTATATAACTTCGTACATTCTGCACATTACTAAGAATTAAAACTGTATCATAATTTTCTGCAATCACTAAAAAGGGTCGGAAAAATCACTGTCGCTGGTCGTGTCAGACAGGTGGTCGTTTAGTACAGGTATAATATATAGGGAAAAGCCTAGGGAGGGATTTTTATGGTCACAGATGAGAGTGAGTCGCTTAATAAGTTTTGACTGTATATGATAATGTACTATGGTTTCTGAGGGCAAACAGTTTAATTATGTATTGAAATATTTATACAATAATGCTTTTGAAGAAACTAAATGTTCTACTTTATTTAAGTTACAACTGGCTGCTGACATAATTCAGAAATTATACCAGATTGCTCTAGAATTACCCGCAAATGAAAAGTGAGTATGTGCTGTCTATTTCAAGAGTTCACTATCTAGAACAAATAAAAAAAAAGAAGAAGAAAATACCCCTAAAACTAAAAATGGAGTACTTTTTCTACAAACACCTGAAATGTTCTTGAAATTTATTTTTCAGATTTGACAGAGCACGTAAAAAGATCTGGGGTATGCAAATCAATGCATTGATTATCATAATATCATTGTACATGTAATATGTCTTCCTGTTGAGCCAGGTTTTTTTCATGAAATATGTCTTCTTTTTTTTTTACTTTTGATGATAATTGTTATCTTTCAGTTGACTTTAAAGGTTTGATTTGGCTAGAATTTATTCTTTTTATAGTAAAATTTGTGATGAAAGAAACTAACAGACCCCAAAAACAATTTATAAACAAATGACATAAAATAAATTTAATCATAGATTTTAATTAAAATGTACTTCTTTTTGAAGACAAGTATAATTATGTGGAGTCAGAGCTGATAGTGGAATTTAAAAATGCCCATTTTGACGGAGATAAAAGAAAGATGAAGAAAGTGGCAGCTGTGCTGTCTAATTTCAAGGTGAGTAGGATATAAATTAACCTATTAGATTATGTAATGTAGTTGGATTGACTGTAAGCTATTAAATGAAATACATTTGGAGTATCAACAGGATAAACTTCATATATTTTGAATAAACACTTCATCTTGAGTTTATCAATTTCTACAGGTAAAAAGCTACAATTTATAAATTTTGGATACTCATATAATGTCAGAAGTCATTGCACATTTTTGCACTAGTGAATATTTATTTTTACTATGAAACATTACATACATGTACCTGCATAAATCTAACTTCCATTCCAGGGCTATGGACAATGTATAGAGACTTTTATCACAGAGTCCCAGAAAGGGGCATATCTGAAGCCGGACCCTTTTGATGATGTCCTCCCTCTTTGTGTAAGGTCCAGTGAGATGATCAGTGATGTGTTTAGTAATCCAGACATGGTGATGGTGAAATTTGTACAGAATATTTACCATGGGAAGCTACAGGTGAGTTTTTGTACAACATGTATGATCTCAGTATTGTTCTTCCTATTTGATCATATGTGGATTCATTTTTTTAAACCTAAACTGGTTGAAAAGAAATAGCTGATTCATTTAGAAGACTTGAAATATATGAATTCATGATAACATGACTTACATAAAAACCATTTTTTTTTGCCATACAAGTCAAAGGATAAGACAGACATGTTGCTATTTTTTTTATAATAACTTTTTTCATATAGAAAAGCAAAGTAAATTTCCTAGATTAATGTTTAGGTAAATATAACAGACTGTTAAGGAGGAAAAGTTAATATTTTGTTCCTACAAGTAATGCATTTTCCCTGACGTTAGTTGTTCCAGATCCCCTCAAAAGTGTGCAGGATGCATGTTACCTGAGGTGATGTTAGCTTATTCTTAGTTTTCCTGAGCAAGAGGCTAAAATAAATGTTAGTGATCGAAGTACATATCTGTCATATGTCACCTCTCTCTCTCCCTCATTAATGTTTTACATAGGAAAATACCTTAAACATAATCTTCTTTTCTGAAAACCAAGCTACAATAAATTAAATTAATTTGAATCTTAACCATGAAGTGCAGATTTTTTTTTGGACTCATGGCTAGTTCAGCAAGTGCATGGCAAAGATTTGAAAATTTTGTAAGTAAGAACAAAGCCTAAATTTCTCAAATTAATTTTGAGTCATTATCATTTGATATGTGGGAGATCTTGTTTATCATGTATGGGCAATAAGTTTCCAAGCATAAAAAGTTCAGAGTGACCTAGCTATTCTGAAAATGAATATTTAACTAATTAACATAATATTGCTTTTTCAGAGTCACATATCCTCTAAGCTGGATGACCTGGATGATCCAGAGGAATACCTTGTACAGCTTTATCAGTTGTATACTAGGTACAGATCATTTGCTTCATTTACAAGAAATGTCTTAACACTGCTGTAACTAGTTTTATGTAAATATTGCCAAGAGAATTTTTTTTTTGAAGTGCACATATTTTTTCCCTTTAAAAATATTAAGTAATTAGCAGTTTTGCTGAGGTTTATATGTGTTTATTTTTTCTATTCAGAACAATGAAGCTGTCAGAGGAGTTGTCCCAGTTTAAGATGGGAAATGACAGTTTCTTTCTTACCAAACTCACAAAGCAGATTTTTGCAAAACATCTAGAAGCTTACATCGGGTAATGCACACTTCCACACCAGACATGATTATGTATCTGGAAAATGTATATATGCCCATTTAGACATAACATATGGATGAAGTGTCTAATTATTTAATTACTGTGAAAGACATTTAACTCCAGAGTAACAGGAAAATGTCCTTTTTTCAGGTCGGAAACAAAATATCTGAGAGAGAGATGTTCAGCTCATCTGCAGAGATATTATGAAGACACAAATCACATAAAAAAACAGATTCAGTCTGGAGGGTGAGCTAAATATTTCAGACATGTGGACAAAATCCAGCATAAGAAATACCAGTCAATATAGTCCAAACAATTCCAAACAGTTAATATTTATCATATACATGTATAATACATGTATTAATTTTCAGGTTGGTAGATTTCAAGAGAGATCTGCAAGCCAAGATAGGCACTCTTACCAAGGCAAATGTAAATATTGGTCCAGCGGTAGAAAATTATGGTGGTGAGACCTTCCTCTCACAGGAAGTGACTATCAGCTTGTTACAGGAGGCCAAAAATGCATTTAAGCGCTGTCATGTAGTAAGTTTTTAAAGACCATTTTTATTGTGTTAAGTTTTTAAGTGAATCGTTAGAACGGTACATGAACAGTGAGAATACTGAAAATTCATTTTTCTGTTATATTGCATAGAATTTAAACTACTGTTGTCTAGCAACACTGATTAACTTCCTGTCAAAAGGTGTTAACTGACAGTGGACCTCTAGTAATATTGATGCATATCCATCCATGTACATAAATAGTCATCAAGAACTAATATTGTGTCAAGAATGTGTCTTAATTAAAGAATCGTATTCTTAAATCAAAATTATATTGCACCACGTTTGCTCTTTGGATTGAAAAAATAAATCGGTCATTGTCTTATTCCTGTTTTATTATTTTTCAGCTGTCCAGCAGTTCTGATATGGCTGGCAATGCAGTGCGGATTTTGGATGTCTTGATACAATATTTGGTTGTTGAACACATTGATTATGCAGTAGAACTAGGATTACAAGGTACATTTTGTACTTACATGATTGAACATAATGTGTTTAAGTGTCACACAAATCGAGTGAATAATTGAATCTACACAGTATTAAATCAGGGAATTTTATTAAAATCTCAGGAGACAACCATTTATGCATAAAATAAGAATGGAATTGCTTCTAGGTACTTGCAATTGAAAGTAAGTCAGTTGAATTTAATTTTTTGAAAATTCTTGTGGACATGATTGAACTATATGTACAATGTTTTACATCGGTATATTTGGAAATGTAAATATAAATGTAATTTCTAAAACACTGTCTTTCAGCTATCCCCCTGCCAGACCCCAGGACTCCCCCACAAGTATATTTCTTTGATGTTGTTGGTCAAGCCAATACATTGTTCCACCTGTTTGAGAAGCAGTTCATGGATTCACTAGTTCCCCTGGTCATGTGAGTTAAAAAAGGAACCAAACTTAAATTATAGTTAATGCATAAAAAGTTTAAGTATGTATGGGATATGTACTTTAATATTCTTGTTGTTTCAGGATGTTTTATTGAATTTCTAATGGGATGTTTTAGCTGCATAGGCATTTGTTAAGTGCCTTAACATGTGTCTATCTTTAAGTTCATACTCTATTAGCAATTTTTCAAACCACTACTGCTCCTACAGTTTTTGAATGTTTTTGCCATTTTAGACAGAAATTTCTTTAAAATTCTTTCAGAATACAATAAAACTTGTGTAGTGCAAACATGGATATAACAAAGGTTTGTGGGATCCCCAGCAACATTCTTAACAATTACTTGTAAAGTTTTACAGTTATAGCAAACGCTGATATAACAAATTTACAGATATCGTGAATTGATTTTATATTTCGTAATGTTAAAAAATAACGAAATTTACCTCTTTTATAATGAATGTTTTCAGATCTCAAAATTTAAAATATAAAACTCTATTTGACATTTTCAACAGAAAACTTAAGATCTGCAAAATAAGTTTGGTATTTGATACTTCCCTGAACACATTTGGTAGTCATATGAAGAATGTATATTGCAAATTCGATATATGTATATATATATATATATATATATATATATATATATATATATATATATATATATATATATATATATATATATATATATATATATATATATATATATATATCCCCAGGACTTCCATATAACCAAGTTTTATCATATAATACATGTATCCCTCTTACAGTTTTGATCATGCAATTTCAATAAAACATGGTACATACATGTAGGTACCATAAAATATAGAATACAACAAGAAAATTAATTCTGTTTATCAGTTTTTGACTTTGATGATCAATGTTGCCATGGTTACTACAATTTTTTTTTCTCATTTTCCATTTATATATATTCCTTTAGATCATCACCAAGACACAGTGAATGTTTGCAAAAGAAGAGAGATTTGAGGGAACAGTTAGAAACTAAGATTGATAGTGGGTTAGACAGGGCTTTGACTGCCATTACAGGATATGTTAAGTTCCTCCTTGCTGCTGAACAGAAGAAAACAGATTTCAAACCTGATGATGATAGTGCTATGCTGGCTATGGTTTCTCAAGTAAGATTTGTTAAGTTTTTTTTAATTGAAAAAAAAATCAACATTTTTCAAAGATTTAAGGATACACTGGAGTGTGCTGTCAAGGCTGGTTGATATATGCTTCATGCTTTTGATGTATTACCATGTGCCAGATATCAGGAAAGGGACTATGCACCAGAAACAAAAACTAGAATTTTGGATACATTCCAAATAAAATTATTTATTGTATTAAAGAATCAGCTTTCCAGACACTTTGGTACTTGTTGTAGTCAAATATATGTCTGATTGTAGGCATGTTCAAAAGTGGTGAAGTTTATATATGGAATACATAGGAACATCCGTGATAGTTTGGATGGGAAGAATGTGGATGTTGTACTGTCAGAGCTTGGTACAAGACTTCACAGAGTTCTATTTGAACATCTCCAGCAATTCCAATATAACTCATTAGGTAATGACTTGAAATAGGTTCCTGGATATTAATCAATCCTACATATTTTTATGTTCCCCAAATGAAGGTGTTTTTTTTGGTCCATGAATATTCTCAGAAACTACTGATCTGATTGAGGATTTTTCTCTCTTATTTTTCAATTATGGTACAATCTTTGAAATTTAAATACTTAAACACTAGAAGAAGATGTATGTGAGAAATCTAAAAACACATGTGCATGCATATGTGCTGAAATTTGATTGGCTTATACAACTATACCATTGTTGTATTTCGATAAAATACTTGTACTTTGGAAAACAGTGTGTAGATCTATAACACAAAAAAGTGACATAATTAACATTTTTGAATAATTGTATATTCATACACTTAAAATAGGCTTAACTTTGAAATGATGTACATGTATAAGGAACTGTATTAGAATGCAGGTGCTAGCTGTAAGTAATCTGTTTATTAGTCCCTCATTGTTTTTATGTGACAAAATAACCTGATATCTACTTGTGTGAATATTAAAGAGAGATATCCATGGGTTTGGGAATTTCTTGGTCAAAAGATCAAGGTCATTAATATTAATTCAAATGTAAAACTAGAACTGTCCAATAGGGACAAATACCCCCCGCTGGGTTTTTCAGAGAAAGTACCAAATCACTAATGTTTTCTAGATGTGAGAGGTGTTCACAATTTCCTTAAACCATTTCCAGTGAAAATTTAATTACTCATTATATTTTTTATATGTCCGTCTTAAGACGGGACGTATTATGTTATAGTGTTCATGTCCCTCCGTCCGTCTGTTAGCTTTTTCATGTCCGGCTTATTATTTAGTCTTATTTTTTTCATTATGTTCTTTACAGCAATCTGTAACAAGAAAAATTCCACCTCTCCCATGGGTGTAATGATCAGGCACTGGTCAAGGAAAATTTTGATAGCAGAAAATTGCATGTCAAATTAGAGATAAATTAATGAGTTTAGTGTGAGGTGATAACTGGTAGAGCATCTCTGATCAAGCAGGTGTTATCTACATCTCTTGGGAAATGGGCAAAAGGAATCAGTCTCTTAATTAATTGCTTGTGTTGTATTGAATTGTTCTTGTTGGCTAGTCTTACTTTCAAGATAAATTTGATGTAATTAAAACTAATTTGATATTGTTTATAATAATTAAAACTTATATGATATTGTATAATATAATTTAAACTAATTATTTATTGTACATTTTTTATTTGAATTTTTATATCTTTACAACAAGTTGCAGACTGCCTTGTCTCACTAAGATGTCATTCGACCAATTGAATCTAAACTGTTTATGATAATTTAACAATATTTGATGGGCGTTTAATGCTGTGGTGGGGCACTTTATTTTAATGAATGAAACTAAGGTGCAGCCTAATAAAATATCAACACTGATAATTACAGTGTTTTTTATTACATTGAAAAAATAGTTTCCAACTATCTGTCATCTTTGTGAGACATGACACTCTGCAAATTGATTGTTGAAAAAAAAAATATCATAATTAATTATACAAAATCAAATTGATTTTAATACCTTTATATCAAACTCATTTTAAAAATAAAAGGCTGGTTTTAGTAACTATGTATTTTGACAGACATAAATAACAATTAAGAGACTTAGACAACAGAGATCTTTATTTCTTTCTGCCCAATTCCCCGGAGATATAGATAAGACCTGCCTGATCAGAGATGCCCTAACAGCTTCCCACACTGAACTCATTAATTAATCTTTAACTGGATGCATGTCCACTCATTACTCCCAAGGGATAAATGGATTTACACTATCTGCTGTGTAATGTAAAAACTGTTTTTAATACTTTGTGGGTTTTTTTTTAGTTCTAATGAGTAGTTTTAAGCTGTAGTTCACATTTTTGTACAGATGTTCTAGATTCTATGTCTCAAACCTTAGACATGAACCCGAAATGACTAAGTCAATAAAAATTTAAAAAAAACACCTGTAAAATGCAGAAAAATTATCAAATAATGTTGAAAATACCAGGTGCACATCTTCATATGGTAAATAATAAGTGTACAAATTTTCATACAAATCTATGCAATAGTTTCTGGGAACAGATCCAGACAAAACCACACAATAAAAATGAAAAAAACACCTGTAAAATGCAGAAAAATTATCCAATCATAATGAAAATACCAGGTGCACACCTTCATATGGCGAATAATAAGTGTACAAATTTTCAGACAAATCCTTCCAACAGTTTCCAAGAAATGGTCAGGACAAAATCTCGTCTACAGACAGACTGACAGACGGACAGACAGACGGACATGCTGATTCCAATATACCCCCCCTAAACTTCGTTTGCGGGGGGTATAATAAAAAATTGATGTCACTTGATGGTGTCTCCATGCTGAGCTTTTGCAGTAAATGTTTTTTAACCAAAAATTTCCTTTCATTTTATAGTTGAATGGAAATTAAATCAAAACCAATATATTTTGAGGGCATTTTGTCAAAATTCAAGATTATTTTAAGCCATAAACCAAATGGAAGATATACTGGGCCATAACTTTGCAATGAAGAAGTAATAGATTCTTATACTAGATGCAAAGATTGCTTATGACCTCAAGATATGTTTTTGATCCTGACCCAAGATCAATTTGGCAACTCTAAGGTCTCTGAAAGAAAAATAAGAACTTTTTGATAAGAAAATTAAATTATTTGTGGCTCACACTGTATTTCAACATTGTTCATATTCCCAGAAAGTGCCATAAATCTGACCAAAGTTTATTTATACAAATTAAAGGTTACTGGATTAAACAGAAGGTATCATTTTGTGAGCTTGCTCACATTACAATGTACCTCTGATTTAGTTTTCCATGAATGTACATGAAATTTTATGTGACATTAAAGTTGAATTTATTTCAACCTTTATATCATTTCATATTCATATGCAGGAAAAAGCTTTAAAAAAGAGAGAGACAAGTAAATATTTAGAGGTCACTGTACCTCAAGGTCAAAAGGCTATTAATGTAAGCATGTTTGTCAGTTTTCAAGTTTTGTCTGTACTGTTTGTGATACACGTTTCTTCATTAAATCTGGGAGAATGTCATTTACATGTATATGACATGGGATAAAAAAAGGTGAAGAGATGATTAATAGTGTTTTGTGGTGGAATACACGTTTCTTCATTAAATCTGGGAAAATGTCATTTACTTGTATATGACATGGGATAAAAAAAGATGAAGGGATGGTTTAATAGTGTTCTCTGATGGACTGCAAGTGTTGATCTCATAAATTAATTAAGACCTTGTCCTATATTAAAGGTGCCATGTTGGTGATCTGTGATGTGAATGAATACAGGAAGTGTATGAAAGAGTTCAAGATTCCAGTTGTGTCTGACTTGTTTGAGAAGCTTCATGCCTTGTGTAATCTACTGGTGGTTGTCCCAGAAAATCTCAAGGAAGTCTGCAGTGGAGAAACTTTGGTAGGTAGTCATAAAGGTTTAAATGAAATTATAATGAGGGCAATAGAGCAATTCCACTGATCTTAGAGTAGATACATGTATTTTAATAAAGATCGACAACTCATTCTGTAGAATAAAACATTTGTAGATCACAGTCATCAGAGGTTCTATTGTATCAATCTGAAGATCAATTTCTAAGTAGCTATAAGTCCTACCTTTTTAATGCATCCCGAAATTTGTAGCTTTAATAATTTCCAGATAAAAGAAGTTTCTAAATATGCTTTTAATATATTTTGGTGTGAAATGCTTTAGCAAGGTATAAGTCATGATATTATATTGAAGATTTTAGAAAATTTGAGCTTCAAATCTGTGTCCCAACCCCTTTAAAGTTTGATGCAGTTTTAAGAAACTTTAATCTGTGCCATCACTTTAATATATCTTTTTTGTATGATGGACAGACAAGACAGGACAAACAGACAAGACAGTTACAATATGCCATAAATAATTGCATCCCAACCACTAAGACATTGCAAGTGGGTACCTTAATTTGATTGTTTATAATTTTTTTTTCTGTTTTAGACTGGATTAGATAAATCTGTCCTCCAAGCTTTTATTCAGCTGAGAGCAGACTACAAGACTTCTAAGATAGCAACAATGCTGAAATAAGAACAATGGAAAATTTAAAGTTTGTTACCATAATTAATTTTTTAAAAAAATATACTTAAGATAATTAACCAAACTTTTTTTTTAACTCAGATTATAAAGCACTGTAATGACAAGTGAAAAATGTGGGCATTAAAGATGATATAATAGTATTTGTAGAACAGCTTAAAACTGATTTTGTTATATGGAAAAGTACAAAGAATGTTCAGCTTAATTTTCTTGTGTGTACTTTTTTTTTTTTTTTACCAGTGAGATCTTTTTTAAGATGGTGACTCTTGTGAAATCTTTTAAATTATTGCAGAAATAATGTTCTAAATGTTGTAAATGTACAATTTATTTCTGAAAAAAAAACTCTGATAAAGAATAAACATACATGTATGTTAACTGCTTTGTTGTGTATATCTTTAGTTCCTTAAAGGACTTATCGCATGATTCTTAATTATATGAAATTAATAACTAAAACGTTCCTTATGACCACAGTTTATAAACTTAGTGATTTTACTGCGGATAAACCGCGGTAATTAATCAATTATTGACTCAAATGAAAACCCCTGAATTAAAAATCTTCATTTTGTCTTTGATATTTTATTTTGAGATATGTATTCTATTTCATTTGCATATTGGGAAGGTAGCAGGAGAGAGTGAGAGACTGAGAAACATTTGTCTTGATTGTGTGTCACATGTGCTCTTTTGTGTGAAATAGAAATTATAGAATTGCCTTATCACACATTACATTATTATAAAAAAAGACTCTCAATTAATTTACAATAGATCTTTTATAACAATACAACTGAAATCAAAACAATAAAAAATGGACTTTGGTTAATTTAGCCAGATTATGGCCTTTGATAGGAATGATTTGTACCAAGGAACACTGGTGAAACAATACTTGGAGACGGCATCTTTCGTTTTGAGAACCCCTGTTATGGGCTTGATGCGTGTATTAATTCAATTGTTGCAATATGTTGGGGAATATAACTGACGTAGGCACTCCCTAGCTTAAGGTCTGACGACACGTTCCTCAAATTTCTTTTGTTTCTCTTCGCAATATATAAAAAAAAAAAATCATAATATTAACGTTATCTTGTGATTTCTAAACCGTTTTTTAAAATGTCTTAGAAAATAAATACTACAAAAATTGTGATACTGACAATTCAAATTAATAAGCTTATATAGGAAACACCACCCTCTGGTATCTTGCACAAATGCCTCCTAAGGTTCCTCAATTTTTTATGAGGAAACTTATTAAAGTAGCAATTAATACTTTAATGATAAATTCTTGGGAGAAATTGTGCATGTATATTATTGAGGAATGTGTCATCTGACCTTAATTGTTAAAAAATATTTCTACTGTACTATAAACATATGTTTATAGTATTTGTATATATAGTAATTCTATTATTTTATCTAATTTTCTAATATAGGATTTCTTTTAAAGAATGCAACTGTTGAATTCAAAATATCATTATTTGAATTAAGGAGGAATTGAAGAGAGCACTTATTAAGAGCCATTCTCTATTATGGCTTAAACTCTTAAATAAGTACCATGGCACGCATAGTCCCAGAGTTTCTACAAAACTCTCTATGATAGAAGTCTTTGATACTTATATAAGACAAAAACGGTTGCTATGTGTCGTGGCTCACATAGTAACAAGTCCTTACTTTTGAAAAATAGCATTTTTCAACAGGTTCAGAGTCTATTATCAATGTTTGCAGCAATAGAGAAAAGTAACAACGACTGTTTCTATATATAAAGATTTGAAGACTTGATGTCTTATATGCGTGATAAAAATGTTTTGGAAAACAACTCTAGTATTACTTGCCATGGAAACAAAGTATTGAAATACAATAATTTTATTCATTCATTTGTAAATGCGTTTCATTTTTCATATTTGAAAATCTCTACTTTCTAGTGTGAACTATTTTTGAATATGCAGACTTGATTTGAGACAATGTTTCAAACGATTAAAGCCAAGAAAATTGAAAATGTTACAGAAGCCATTGTCTAGAATTGACTCTCCATTAAACGAAACTTATGGGAACATTTTAAAATTCAATTTTATAAAATATTATATGATCTCCCTTCAATTTTCCTTTCCTCCACGATCTTAACAAGACTTGGTGAACCACACAATAATCAAACAAGACAAACACACAGTTTGGGATTAAGTGTAAAACTTTGATCTTACTTAAAAATTCTTTCTTTCCACAATCAAACTTTGGAATACCTTTCCAGACAAGACAAAAATCTTCATTTTCAAACCTTTTAAAACACTATCTGGTCTTGCCTCCCGCCTGTGCATGTATATATATATATATATATATATATATATATATATATATATATATATATATATATATATATATATATATATATATAGTTTAGCTTTTGTTCTTACCAAAAATACTTGAATGCAGTTCAACTTCATCCTTTTTCACCCGAAATATTTCTGACACCCTTAAGCTTGTGTATGCGGTAAATCTGAAACATTTGAACATTTTCTATGTAAGAAATGTCTTAGATCCTCGTACGTATTTAAATACCGATATCTTATTAAAAATTATCAAAAATTTTCTTATGCAGAAAATATATCCATATTTCGAGCAGTCAATCGTTCCATCAGTACTTCTAAATGATTTCAAATATGAACATATTCGCACGTCTTTTAAGTTTTTGTTTTCCTACATATATTGATTCAATTAAACAAAACTAGAATACATATCCTTCAACCAGATTAATTATCAAAAGGAAACGAATTAATATAGTGATTATCAAAGAGGGTGTTGCAGTTCTTTTGTTATTTTCCCTAGAGTTGTAGCAGTTTAAAAGAAAAAATTTAAGTAACAGAAAACGGTCTTAAATTTTTAAAGATACAACGGTATATACAGCACAATGTAGAACAATATTTAGAAACTGCATATCGACTACCAATTTGCCATTAAATGAAGTGTAAATTAGTCACATAGCAAAATAAGTCAAGATTTCTGTTTTCCAAATAGGGAATCCCCATTGTTCTGAAAAATTGCCTCCTTGAAACAGAATGAATTTGATATACCCATAAGGAGACAGGATTTTTCTTGAAATCTGCCATTTCCGATTTTTGTTACAAAGAGGTATATTTTTGAAAATCACAAAAATCTAATAAAAATTATTATCCATCCGAAATGCAAAATGTGCACATAAAATAACACATGAAACTCCCGTGTCCGAGCTGGTCTAGTGGTAAAGCATGTGGACTCTGTGAGAAGATTCTTTTACCTGAGAATGGGTTCGAATCCTGGAATGGTTGGTATATACATAATTTATTCTTAAATAATGGAAGTACAATATAACATCTCTCTTGAGAGAGAAAGAGAGAGGGAGAGAATGTCAGAAAGTTAATGGGTAATATTTTAAATGCATGCAGAATTAAAAATGTTTTCCTTGATATTATGATCTAAAACAAATAAGACATATATTTAATTTTATTATTTAGTGGCAATGTCTTAAAAAACAAAGTACTATCATTTTAAATAATTTAAATTTTTTCGTACTCATTTCGTTTCATTTCGTTTCATTATTGTTCTGTTAATTAGTGGCTCAGATTTGACTTGAAACAACTAAACTGAAATGACTCAATGGAATTTCTTGGATATTGCATCAACAGCGTGATTATTGGACACATTTTTATATATTGAAAATTATTAAAACACGCTGTCTACAGTACATCTTTCAAAATGATGTGCGAGGTGCATTTGCCATTAATTGTGCTTTTTATCGTTCTAACTTTTCTCGTGCAATATGCCGAGAGTGACCATAGATGTGAAAAAAAGTTTACTTTATACAGATCACCAGTCTATGTTAGGAAAAAACTATGCATGAAATAAACGTTACTGACTTGAAAGTTAAAACCTCTAAGGCCTTTCTTTACATGTTTTGTTATAACAAGCTGGACATACCCGTCGTATAAATAAAGTCATCTACGTAGCATTATCTATATTTAGAGATAACTCTTCATGCGTCGTGGATATTTAAATGTCCTTCTCGAAATAGGGAATAATCACGAGTTTCTGAAACACCCTCTTTGTTTCCAAATCCTACCTTTTTTGCATTGACTGCAATATTTACACATGCCTTTGTTCTAATAAAAACATATTGTTTTCATCTAAACATTTTTTTAATTCAATTACTATCCACAGTTTTATTCAACTCCCTTATCCAAATTTTATGGACGAGGCACGCATACATTCAATCAGTTCTCAGGTCGACAGGAAAGATTTAAGCCATTAATGCCTGCAGAAAGAAGAGTGCCAAATGATATACATAGAATCCTTCTCTTTACTAGAAAGGTACACAGTCAGAGAGAGAGAGAGAGAGAGAGAGAGAGAGAGAGAGAGGGAGAGAGAGAGAGAGATTGACTTTTTGCAAAAAGAACAATTATTATTTATCCAGATGCATTTAATACTTCAGATACTTATTATTTGCCATAAGATAATAGATGGACAAATATCAACATGTTACTGTTAGCATTAAATGGAATAACAAACCTCAGAATGGGATAATAAACTGGGATTTATCTCCCCACCCCCTCAAACCATGTATTTATTTATTTATTTATTTTTTTATCAGACATCACTAGTTATTATATGATTTAATAATTCTTATCTCTCTAATTAGCTGAGATCTAACATTGTAGAAAAATACCATGTTATGTTCACCTGCACGTGACCTTCCAGGTGAACATAAGGAGTTATTTTCTGTTCATTGGACTAAAAATAGATTGGGAACTCTGTAAAGGATCCATGCAAGTATAAATTAAAATAAACTGATAGATGAAGCTATGTTGACCAAAAGCAAGAGAAAAATAATGATTAAGGATCAACAAAATAATTAGTCTAGTACATTTTAATACGTAAATCTTAAATTAGATCTATTTATGTCCCTGTACATGCCCCCATTTTTAACTGTTATCTTGTAAACTAAGCAAAACAATAGAACTTATGCACTATTGATAAACCCATCTCATTCCCTCTCACACTGGCCTCTCTTGGTCTTTGAAGAACATTTTTAAAATGTACAAAGGTATTTTCGTCTCATTTTTATTTTTCTATAATTAACAAGTCTACCTGACCATTAAGAACTATGAAAGTACTTTTTGTATTATATATTATAAATATTCTTGTATAAATACCTTATCATTGACTTTTCAATTACAATATTTACAGTTATTAATTATCATAGGTGAATAGCAAAGAGAAGTTACTTCTCTCAGTGGAATACAAATTAAAAGAGCCCTGCCCAGCACCAGAACACTTGACCAAGTGGTCCACTTGACCCCGGACACTAGAGCCACAAATTTTAAAATTTTTATTAGATACACCCTTACTCATCATAACTATGCACT